TGGAATACACCAGAGCTACCGGCTATGCCTAGGGGAAGCCGGGGAAAGCCATTTATAACAGAGGGAATAGGATGTGTCCAGCACAGTGTTCAGACACAGTGTGACATTTTTTGAAGTGGGAAGCTCACTATGATGAGATAGAGCCTGCATGGGAAGGGGTGACAGGAGAGGAGATATGGAAGTAGATTGGATCCTGATTGTAGAGGACTGACATGTTTAAATTTATCCTGTAGATAACAGACAGCCACTGGAGTTTTTTGAGCCCGGAGAGCAGTAAGATTATTATTATTTGCTTTCATTTTTATCATGATATGACCCAAACTGGTAAGACGGAATTACAATAAAAGGAATACTGTACAACGTGACCAGAAGTAACTAAAATCCTGCAGGAGCCAACCTGACATCAAGTGTCTGTTGTTGGGGCAGTTCACAGTTTGTCTCTATCTGACAGATTGACATCTTAGAAATTCTGATAGCCATATGGAGCACGGACTGCAGCAGGGAGAGACTAGTCCTAGGGAAATGGATGGGGAGGTAAGAAGTATGTAGTGATAATATAGACTTAGCAATCCCACTTGTAGCTGTTTACCCAAGAAAAGTAATACACGTTCACACAAATACCTATACGTGAAGGTTTAGAGCAGCTTTATTCATAATCATCCAAAATCGGAAGCAACCCAGTTGTCCATGAACTGTTGAATGAACGAATAGGTTGTGGTATATCCATAACATGGAGTAAAAGGAGTGGACTATACTGTTGAAACACAGTAACGTCAATAAATCTCAGAAGCACAATGCTGAATGAAAGCAGCCACTCTCAAAGGCTAATACCATATGATTTCCTTTATTTGACTTTCTGGAAAAGGCAGAGATCAGATCAATGATTGCTGGTGGGATGGGGAGTGAGAATTGACTATAAGGGGGCATGGGGAGTGTCTGATAGAATTGTCCTTTATCTTAATTGTGGTGATGGTTAAGTAACCATATACATTTGTGTAAACTCATCAGACTACAATTGAAAAGGGTTTTGTTGTATGTAAATTATACAATCATTTTATTGTCTCACTTTAAAACAAGAAACAATAACAGGTGGATGAATCTCAGAAAGGCTAAATGAAAGAGCCAGACTCAAGAGAGTACACACGGGATGCTCCCGTTTATAGGGCTTTCTGGAATGGACAAAATGAATCTATGGTGAAAGAAAGAAGAATAGTGATTATCTGGGGGTGTGATGAGGGGAAGCAAGGTATTTACCAGGAAGGGGCATGAGGGATCTTTCTGGAATATGGAAATGTTCTCTATGGGTTGAGATGAGTGTGGATTACATGGATGTATCCAATTATCATGCATGATCATATTGTACACTTAAGATCTGTCCCTTTCATTATATATGAATTATATGTCAAAAAGGAATTTATATGACTGGATTAAAGAGAAGTAGAGAAGAGATCTGGTGACATGTAGGATTTGGGACGTGGTGAAGAGAGTGTTTCTAGCTTTGGCGACTGGCAGATGGGGTTACCATTTTCCAAGGTGAAGAATAATGAGAATTCAAACAGGTTTGGGGGAAAGATTACAAGTTATGTTCTGTTGAGGTTGAGTACTCATGGGATATCCTAGTGAAGTTATCTAGAAGGCGATTGGAGTTATGGATTTGGTGTCCCAGAGACACTTGACTAAAGATAGAGATTTGATTGTCATCATCATCATATTAATTGCAGCCATGAGAATATATGAGATCACCCCAGAAGAGAAGTAGAATTGAGAAGGAAAGAGCCCCGAGGATGCCGCCCTGAGCAAACCTACCAGTGAATAGCTGGGCAGAAGAGAAGGTGTGAAAGGGGGAGGAGAATCAGAAGAGGGCAGTGGCCTGGAACCAAGGGAGAACAAAGTTCCAATAAGTAAGGGGTGGTCAACAGTTTCAGATGTTTGGGCTTCGCAGTAAGGTGGTCTTTGGTGATCCCAGTGAGAACAGTCAGTGACTGTTCTCTGACACTGACTTAGAGAATGGGAGCAAATCCCTACGGGCTGGGGAATGGAATAGGCTGTAAGAAGGTTAAAGCAGCTAAGTGTAGATCGCTTTTACAGGAAGCTGCATTCAAGAAGTAGGGAGAAAAGGGCACCGGTGTGAAGTAGAGGTGGTGCCAGGCTTCCCCTCACTTAGTCACGAGAATATTTTCAAGTTTGTTTTGATTTGGCTGGGGGCTGAAGGAAAACATCTCATGAAAGAAAATTTTCCTAAGGGAACATTGTTGAACAAGGTGGGAGCAACAGTTCTTTGAAAATACTTGCTCTTCTGTTGTGGTGAGGACAAGAGAGAGGAACAAAGAAAGTAGCTCTCAGAGCGGGAAAAACCTAGTTTGCCTGCACCCTTTAATGACAGGAACACTGCTATATCTCATCCTGGATTACCAAGTTTTCAAAATTCTAGACACTGGCAAAACACACAATATTGAAGGTGAAGTTTAATATTCTCAGTGCAACCTCCTTTTTACCTTTTAAAATCTTAAATGTCCATGAAAAAGACCAGTCATAAGTTAAAAGGGTCCTTATAAGGACTTTGTAGCCTGTCTAGGGCCCAAATTATTTTTCTTAAGCTGAGTTGATTATTTTAAGAGATAAACCTGATACAAATGCTACTTTTTCATACCATTTACCATTTCCCACCCCCCAGACCCCCTTCCAGTCCCAGCCTCTAAGGGGAGCTGGGCTTGGCTCTGGGTTGTAATGCTGTCCCAAACTTAGCCCAAACTTAGCTCTTAGATGGTAGTAGATCTAAGCCTTGTGCGCATACAGGTGCAGTCAGAGTCAAAACTGATTTGAGATTGTTAAGCCCTGACGGGTTTCATTCACCTGAGTAAACATGCAGTTGGTACTATAAAGGGCATTTTCTCTCTTTGGTTATTTTATTTTATTTTTTTCTTCCTAGAATGTTAGTTCTCAGACTTTCAACTGAGATACTTGGAATTTGCCTCTTAATTTGGGAAATAGTCCATGTGTTGGCTGTTTAATGCAAGGTGTTTAAATGATGGGGCTCATGGGTTGTCATTCTGATTTTAGCTTGTCTCCGTTTCTGGTTGTTTCCGCAAGTCTGGTCACTCTGTGCATCAGGCAGTATTCTTACCCTGTTCCTCATACTGTTATTATTAATAATATTACCACTTTATGAAACAGTTGAAGCCTGTATAATCCCACTTGTGTAAGGTTAACATGAGCTTGTAGATTTAGCAATTTAAGTTTTTCTTTTTAAATGCCTTATTGAGCACCATATCACAAAAGATTCTTCTTTCAGATTAAAAGGGGAATATTCTGTAGGATGACTGAAGATTAGGTAAAATATTTAAGAAGAATGTACTGGCCATAAAAATTATGAATTTGTTACCTACAAGAGATAGGAGCTTTCTTTTCTTTACATTTTGAAGTACCAATAATTGGTTCTTGTGTAGTTACATGAAGGAAAATCCCACCTCACACTCTCTTTTGGTTTGAGATTCATTTTGCAAGTTAAATTGAATCCTGAATAAGTACCATGGAAGCAGATTCATTCATGGCAACTTTTCCTGTGAGAAAAACTTGAATATGATTGTGTAATCAGTGTTGCATAAATAGGAATTTTGGGTTTAGCGTTACTGAGCATACAGGTACTGACAGGTGGTGATTAATAGAGAAAAATGAAAGGAGAAGAGAAATGATGTCCCCACGTGCCACAGTGAATAAATGGTAGAGTCATGAGAAGGAGCCAGGTTTCTAGATTTCCCTTCTAGGATTCTTGGTCCCATATCAGACTTCCTGTTCAAAAGACAGTCTTGGGCACCATCTTTCTAGAAACTGACACTTACTTTTCTGTGTTCTTGAGAGGATTAAGAAATGGGGAGAATCCTTCTTGAAGTAAAGACATTTGTTTCAAAATGAGTTTCCAGAAGATCCATGGTTGTGTTCTATAGGTGTGAGCTGTGGCCTGTGACCTCTGTTTGAACTGTGAGGAAGCTCATCTTTTCTCTTGGAAAGAAGATGTAGACAGTTTATTTGAGGGACATGGAGTGGGAAGTTTGAGAATGAGTGGGACTTCTGAAAGTCAGATGTATTTGATGTGTGTATCCCAAAGAGGACTGTGGAGAGGGTCTCGTTAATGATAAGAGTGAAGGTTGCCGGCTGAGGTTCCAAAGTTAGCGTCCTATTATCCCTGCATCCTGGGTGAAAAGCCAGCTCATGTTCTTGCTTTACTTTTTACAACAGTTGAGGAATTGGGGAAGAGAATCGGTAAAGAAACTGTGAAAAGGAAACCAGAAACCATGGAAATTTGGTCTCTGGCTCCTTCCCTTTTTCAGTGATATTAGTGGTGCAGGATGGCTTATCACAGTCCTGCTCTGTCTGGCATGGGTTCCCTCCTTTCTCTTCTTTCTATATTGGGCCATTGTACTTTATTTTCTGTCTCCAAAGGGAAATTGAAACCATAGGAGAGGGGAAGAATAAATATATTTTACACTTAAATATCTTCTTGACCTAGGCTGCAAAAACAAGATACTGGTTTAGGAAAATGTAGTGGAAGGGCCCAGGGAGATTCCTTCAGGAGATTTTTCTGTTTCGGAATATGGGGGGACAATCCAGAACAAACTCAAAGCAGCTTTGAAGCTTTGATGTTGGATGCCTTTGTGGCATTCCCATTCCCAACTTTTTTCTTTTTTCTTTTTTTCTTTACCCATATGCACAGCAAAATCGTGCTTGCCAACTTTTACAGGTCAGGTCACTTTCTGTGTAGAACTCAGGAATGTCAATAGAGTGGATGATAAAAGCAGTGGAATTTTATAACATTATCTCATGATCTCTAGAACCTGATTAATTTATTTTGAACTGGAAAGATTCTCTGCTTCTACTTCCACTCATTACTTATACTCCCCAAATTTCTATGCCTCTGGTGGGAGTTGATTGGCTTCAGTCTTTCAGATTTTTGTTCAGTTGTAACATCGAAAATGATCTTGTATGTTATATTGTATTTCTAGAACTCTATGGCTTTGATGTGCTCATAGATTCTACTCTGAAGCCATGGTTGTTGGAAGTAAATCTCTCCCCTTCTTTGGCCTGGTAAGTAGTCTGTTCCATCAACTGGAAAAGGACAAACCTTCAATGAATAGCACTAAAAAAACTTTTTAAAAAAAGTTGTTTCTCTTGGCGCTAGATTTTTTTTACCCTAGTTATTAGATAGAAATGACTAGAATTTCTAAATTTGAGGGATTTGCGACATATGGTTAACCTCCAGATGGTAACCGTGTATCCCTATCTTACTAGTCAATTTGTGATCTGATAACTGTCTTCTTGAGCGTCTAAGGGATGCTTCTTGTGTTCATTTTTATTTCCAGTTCTCTCTCTTTCTGTCTTTTAACTTTGTAGCTGTTCTGCCAAGGCTAAAGAAATACATGAGATATTATATTTCCTTTATTACTAAAGGTTTGTACAGGTTCAAATCCACATATACTGTAAGGTATAGAGCTGGGCCTAGGGTATTATATATATAATGTTTGGTCCTTTTACCCTTTCTGTATTCTGGTATGCATCTAAGATTAGAGTCTAAAAACTTCAAAACAATCTTAAAATTTTTAAACCCATCATTTAGAAGAAGGAAAGAAACATATTTTTTCAATACCAGAGAAGATTGTGCTTATATCTGCAGCTGTAGCCAGAGTTTCTATTAGCCATACACTTCTCTAAACAGCTAGAGAACCCTAGAGATTTATGCTACAGACCACCCAGCAGCTGCATGTTTAAGGATGAAAAATGTTGGCAAAATGCCAAGTCATCAAATAAAGACAGATTAACTACTTCGTGGGGTGGGAGTTCAGCTTCAACCCAGCAGTAAGGTATAGAACTAGATCTCACAGAGATGCTTCCGATGTTGGGCTACTCTTTTGTTAAGTCAGCTCTTAGCAAATTGCCCAGCCACGTACGTCCTCTGATGTTAGAGATCCCCGGAATGATGCACTGATCCAGCAGCCAAAGTAATCTGGTTCATGGAAGAATACCTCAACACCAAAGCCAACATGGCAGCCACTGGCACAGCGAGCGTCCAGCTTTCAGTTCATGTTTGTGTTTCCATGTGGGTTCCTGCTGCATCATCTGGTGATATTTTGGTATAAGTTGTATTTTTTTGCCTTCATTCGCAAGCCTAAAAGCTTAAAAGGATTGATTTAGAACAGAAAATGAAGCCTTAAAAAATGTACAAAGATGACCAGAGTTTCTTCTCTTGCATGTGAATGTGATTTGACTCTTGTAGCAGTAAAAAATAATTTGAAGGATGGACACACTCATAAAAGAGCATATTAAAGGTCTAAACCTCTAAAGTCTGCAGTGCTAATGATGCAGTGTTCTTGTACACAGTTTGAATTGCACAAGACCTTCTGGAATAAAAAGATTGCATGTCAGGGAATCAACTTTGGTGCTGGACCTGCCCTACAGAGGATGAGTTTAGCAGTGGGCTTTTATTTCAAGTATTTTTGCCCAGATTTCTTTTTCTTTTTCCATGGGTTTGGTATGCTTGATGTGTTGCCTTTCATCGACATTTGGAAGCTCTGCTATATTGAGGCCCATTAGGGGTACCTCTTCTGTTAATTTCTAACATTATCGATTGGCCTTTCTTTCTCTCTTCTATTAGCGATGCACCTCTGGACCTAAAGATTAAAGCCAGTATGATTTCAGATATGTTCACTGTTGTAGGTGAGTAGTGGTGTTTTCTGAAGACTCACATAAAAGTTAACCAGAGCATCCATTTTGTCGGGCTTTCTAGGTGTTGCCAATTGGCAGTTCTAAGCCATGCTGAGTGTTTTGTACTGAGAAATTATATTTTCAGGCAAGTGTTTATATGTTTTTACTCCCCCTGGCTCCATCCTGTCCTGAGGCTGAACCACAACTAGGGCTGAGAACTAATTCCTGGGGCACAGGAATTACAAGCCGAGAAAGAGCCTTAACCAAAGGTCTGGAGACAGTCTATTTTTTTCAGAGCTGGGAGAGTGTGACTGACTGAAGAAGCTTTGTTACAAAGGAGAGTGGCTCTGTTTCCACTAGGCAGTCTCCTCTCCGCTGGTGTCAACATGGTGCCACCACCCCCCCCCCCCCCGAAGTTTTAACTGAAGGAAGTCCAAGGAAGAAATCCCTTTTTTAGCAGATAAGCCAAAAACTTTGAAATGGAGATGGGCAATTTTTTTTGTGGGTTTGTTGTCGTTTCCTAAGTACTCTACTAAGGCATGACAAAACACATTTGAAATGAACTAGTACTTGGTGGACCAGCAAATGCTGTAAAACTTAGCCACTCTAGTCTCCCTGGATGGGAGTCTGCTTCTTTTTAGGAAGCAGGTGAAGTGAGCACACACCTAACTGCTTAAGCCGTAAATAATCTAAGAAGCCCACTTTGCCAGGAGACCATCTTCAGCTGTTCTAGGAGTAGATTTTTTTTTTTTTTAAGATTTTATTTATTTATTTGACAGAGATCACAAGTAGGCAGAGAGGCAGGCGGCGTGGCGGGGGTGGGATGGGGAGAAGCAAGCTCCCTGCTGAGCAGGGAGCCTGATGCCGGCTGCATCCCAGGACCTTGGGATCATGACCTGAGCCGAAGGCAGAGGCTTTCACCCACTGAGCCACCCAGGTGCCCCAGGAGTAGATCTTGTAACAGGACAGGACCCCTCACCTGCTCTTGGATTCTCCCAGTAAAAACAACATTATTTTCCAGTCACCCTCTAGGAGGCCACTTTAAAATAATTTGTTTTTATAAACAACTGTGTATTTTTAAATGGTGATTTACACTTTTTACTCTGAAATTCATCAAAAATCCACATCTCTTTTTGAATCAGAATCAGCTCCCTAGCAAGGAAGGTTGATTTATCTGCATATTTTCCATTCTCGTGCTGTCCAGTTTTGGTGGTTTGAAGTTCAAGTGGAGTGTGTGTCTGAGAGAGCCATGCCTCATCCTTCTGAGGATAGATCTCTAATATTTATGACTATGAAACTGACTTTGTATCTCTAAAGAAAAGGTACAGCTAAACCTGCTAATTTCTTAGAAAATGGTAGGTTTTAATGTTTGCCATTCCCCATTCAGGATTTGTGTGCCAGGATCCTGCCCAGAGGGCATCAACCCGGCCAATTTATCCCACCTTTGAGTCTTCCAGGCGAAACCCTTTCCAGAAACCTCAGGTAAGCAAATTCAGCAGCAGGGAGCCCAAAGAGGCTTACTGGAAAGTGGTAGCTGATGTAAATGAGTGAGCTGAAGCGCTACAGATATGACGTCACTGAGAGCAGGAGAATTTGGGGATCATTCCAGACAGGAGGCAGTTACATTCCGCTGTGGCTGATAGCATATGCTTTCATTGCTTTCAAGCTAACTTACTGTCTGCTTTTTGTTTTTCTTTTCTTTTGCCTTTTTTCATTATCTGTCCTTTTTTCTTTTTCTCTTTAAGAATCACCTGCTCTTTTCCCCAAATCGATATGCTCATAAACAAGGCACAGAGAGGGAGCCGACAAATTCCTAGTCGTTACTCTGCTACATTCTTTCTGATCTTCAGGCTAGCTTTGTGAAAAGATGCTTGTTGAAAGAACATCTTTTCTACAGGTGCTCAGTGATCATGAGGTGTTAACTGAGGTTCAGTGAGATCAACGCCTACAGAATCCTGTGTGTGTCTGAAACGTCACTTGATCAAGCGTCGCTCCCATCTTTGTGTCCTCTGCATCTGTGTTCCAGTTAAACCAATCAGCTCATTGTTGTGCCTGCTCGGTCCATCATCTAATCCATCCCTGCCTGTCTAGACCGGGCTAGTTTCTACTATGTTCTTTGCCTTTAACATTTCTTCTTAGCTAAAAGATCCACCTTCCTCCTCTCTTCCCATCTAGATTGATGACCTTGCCTGCTCAGAAGTCTTGAAATCATTTCCTATTAAATCCATCCCATTCTGGCATGACTCCAGTGCATGGTTTTGGCATTCATTGATTTGTTGCTTTGACATTGTCCAGTGTTCCTCTGCTAGACTGTAAGCTCTTTGAAGGCAGAAATAGCTGCTTCTTCCCCCTGCCTCCCCTTTCCCTTTCTTCTCCCATCCATTGATTCCTCCTCCACTTCTCCCTTCTCCTGTCACCACTCGTTCTGCGTTTTTTCCTTTAGCTTGCTGGTGTCATTTTGAGTAGCGCTATTTCTGTCTGCCAAGCTTGTCACTCTTACTTACACAGCTGTATTTCTAAGTTTTCATTAGAACAGGGTGTCCAAGCTCTACTGCCTAGAGGGGTTGCGGGCAGACAATGGGAATGGGTAAGAGGGCCGGGTACAGGACAGCTGGGAGGAAGGGATGCAGCTGTGCTGGACTGGAGCCTGTGCCCCATATTAAAAAGGGGCAGCTGTTTTCTGATGTGCTGTAACTGATCATTGCCGTGCATGAGTGTGGAACACATGTTGTCAGAACCTTCCTCCTATCAAGAGAAATGAGAAGTCTTATTTTAAAATATTGCCAACTGGTCCCGTTAAAGAAAAAATACTTTGCAGACCAAATGCAACGTGTCTTTGAGCTAGACGCACTCTGTGACCACCTGCTCTAGGATCGTCCCCTGTTAGCACTAGAGTTGCGACGTGGGACAGGGTGTACTGGATTTTAAGGGGTATTGTTATCTTGGATTAGAAAGAAAACCGGGCAGCAGCATTGTTCTTGATCAGTACATTATCACAGGTCAAAAGATTTTCTTTAATTTTTTAATAAGAAAAAGTAGAAGATTGCCCTAGGTGTACTAGCAAAACTGAATTTAGGCCATCACATTCCTCTGCAGGTAGTTTCCTGCAGTATCTGTGGCAGAGCCACAGGATTGTGTGTAAAGGATTGCAAATGTTTCTGTGCAGCTTTCACAAGAGTTCCTGCCAAATTTTACTCTAGGGGTTAGCTGTATGTCAATCTTGGATGAATTGGCTACTTTTCTTAGCCTGCCTCTCAGCGTTTATTGGCCGCTCTTTGCAAATCATAGAGAATCCGTCCACCATTTGATTTGCTAATTGGTAGGTCATGGCATGACTTCATCCATAAGGCACCTATAGGACACTTTTTTTTAAAGGGTTAAAAAACTGTAGATTAGTTCTATGTACTCTGGAACAAATTTATCAGGTGGAATAGTTGGCTTCAGGATGTATAGTAGGATTTTGCTTTCCTGCTTAGAAGACGAAACTGGGATAAATACACTGTAGGAGAAAGTGGTGTGAAGCATAATAATGTTCTGGTCTTACAAGCACAAAGTGTAGGGCTCTTGCTTTTGCTTTCTGCTTGGAGATCATCTTCTCCCTTGTGAGATCACAGACATCATAGAGTTGGAAAACCTCACTGTGGTAGGGGAAGATAAGGCTTTATTCCATTTTTCTATCTCTTGTAGCGTCCAGTGTCTGCACGGTGTCAGTCCTCAGATGCCAAACTGGTAAGTTCTGGATCACTTGGAGACTTCATTCAGATTCTTATTTCTAGTCCCCAAATGGAAGGCCTTTTAGCTTTGCTCTTTCACAGTCTGTGTTTGATGTACCTGCTTTTTGAACTTTAATAACATAGAGTTTAAGTGAAAATGAATGCACAGAGGTCTTTCCAGATATAGAACACAATAGGAGAGGTTGCAGGAATTTATGAATCCTCTTTTCCTGATAGTGATCGTGCTGTGAAGGAGGCAGTTGGATTTAAATGACGAACAGGATTTAGAGGCATATCTATCGCTTTGACCAGAATATTCCAGGAAGGAAATATAGTTCACAGACACCCTTTCTTTTCTTCAGATGTCTTATGAAAGGTACTATTGTCAGTAGCTTCATACTGAAAACATTTTCACATTGGGTATTGGGCTGCATTTGATTTTACATATTTCTTATACATCGTGATTTGCAGTTTTATGAATCGTGGAACCTTTGCCATAATAAGTGTCTGAGATGCTACCTTTAAAAATAAACTCAAGGGGCGTCTGGCTGGCTCAGTCGTTAAGCATCTGCCCTCGGCTCAGGTCATGATCCCAGGGTTCTGGGATCAAGCCCTGCATTGGGCTCCCTGCTCAGCAGGAGGCCTGCTTCTCCCTCTTCCACTCCCCCTGCTTGTGTTCCCTCTCTCTGTTTCTCTCTCTCTGTGTCAAATAAATAAAATCTTCAAAAACAATAAATGAAAAGAAAAAAACTAAAAATATATTTTTTAAGATTTTATTTATTTATTTGAGAGAGAATAAGAGAGTGAGCATGAGAGAGGAGAGGTCAGAGGGAGAAGCAGACTCCCCAAGGAGCTGGGAGCCCGATGCGGGACTTGATCTCGGAAGTCTGGGATCATGACCTGAGCCGAAGGCAGTTGCTCAACCAACTGAGCCACCCAGGCGCCCCAGAAACTAAAAATATTTTATCCCCAACTCCTAATGAACAGTATTTGTCCTCCTTCTGTCCTTGTTAGCATATTTGAGATTAACTGTCATTTTCTTCTATGAACATCTTTATTTTCTTTTAAACATCTCGTCGAAGTGACAGGGTAGCAGTGACGGTGCTGCTCCTGCTAGCTGATACTCCGAAATGAGGGCTGTAGATGTGTCAGACATAAGTGAGCCCCTGCAACTAGTAGTTCTTCAGCAAGAAGCTCCAGGATATTTATTTTGGCCTTGGTACTCTCTGATACAGTGACCGGACAGCTTGGGAGCTTGAGTCGTAACTCCTGCAGCTACTGTTTTTGACGAAGTGCTTTATGTGGTTTATATGAGTCCAAGAAGTGAAAAAAAGGCTTATTGGTTGTCTTGTCTAGCGTTTGGTCACTGGCTGATGTGGTTCCGTAGGTGTTTCGTTGGTAGAATTCAAAACGCTGTAATGTTTAGTGTTTTATGTTTAGCGAAAACCTAGGTGTGCTAGCTACTCTCTGTGCCAAACAGAAAACAAAACAAAAAAACAACCACAAAAAAGCCCCAGAGCTGTTGACTTCCAAGGGCTTACATTCTGAATACCTTTTAGGGATATCTACTCTTCAGGAGAACTTGAAAAAATCCTTAATTCATAGCCTTCTGAATTTGATTCCAAAGAAGTGTCTTTGCTGTGTAATTCTAATCTTAACTTCCCTTCACCCATTTTAATTTTCTCATGTCTGTCTAGCTCTGCTTGCCAGAATGGCCATAGACTGTGATAGCCTGTGGCCGAGCAAGGCCTCTCCCTCATGGCTGTGTAATTGAACACTGCTCCAGTGACACAAAGTCTTTCTAGCTTTATTTGGCCAACTTGATACGTGTGGAATTCTCTGACTCTTGTTCTTTGCAGTGTTCAAAGTCACCGACTTTGTGTGAATGAAGCGTTCTCAACCCCATGGGGGTTTTGTCCGAGCTAAGTTAGAAACGAAAACAAGTTCTCTGCTCTGGCCATGGACACTTTGTCAAGCTTTCTTCTTCTGTTGCTGTCAGATTGTGCAGTCATAGTTCTTTTCCCGTTGTCTATTCCTTTTTAGTCCATCGTCTCTTTCTACATTTCTTCCTTCCCTTGAATTCTTCTAGTTCAGATTTCCCACTCATCAGAAGTCACTTTTCAGGGTCGCCAGGCAGATGACATAGTTTCGTGGAAAACACACAGTCAGTCAGATAGCTCCCGGTTCAAATTTGTTCTGCCACTACCTAACTAGCTGTTAGACTTCGGTCAAGGTCCCTTGTGTCTCTGAGGCTCACTGTCCACATCTGTCCAATGAAGATAATACATACATGGAGATAGGGTGTGAAAGAAACAATAAAGCATAAGTAAAAATTTGGGCTAGTTCTGGACACATAGTTTACCTTGGACACATAGCTCCCTTTACACTTTTGGGTCCTGTTAATTTTCCTTTTACGCATTTGTTAGAGGCATTGGGAGTTATTTCGATATTCATATCTGTAGCCATTCTTTTCACATTTGCTTTCATCTACAAATGCAGATTAATTACTCTATTATCTTTTTATTTATCCATCCTCCCAGACATCAGTGAAGATTCTAAGTAATGCTCAATCAGTACCCATTCTGAAAATCGCTTCCTAATTTGATTCACTGCTGTTTATCCTACATAACATCTTTCAACTCTTTTCAGTCTTTGTTGGTGTGTTTTATTCATTATATTATGACACTAAGCCCCAATCAGAAATATAATTTAGAATGGAAATTTTATGAAATTTGTATAAATGCTTTTGTAAAACCCAAAGACATTAAATGTATTTGCTCTATTTCCCCTTTTTTGTAATTTTTGTCCTAAACATAAACATTTTAAGCGTGTTTTAAAATAAATAAAGCAGTCTCCATACTTACTCTTTATGAGCTCATTAAACTCTAAATGTTTACGGATTTTTTTTCTTTTATTATTTGTTCCATTATTTTACTAGGGATTCAAGTTAGACTTACCAGGCAGTAGTCACCAGAAACACATTTCTTACATTTTTGAAGATTGGTACCTCATTTGTTTTTTTCTAATCCTCTGCTACCTCCTCAGTTCTTCATGATTTTTCAAACATAATTGTAAGTGGTTCTGTAAGTTTTTGTTTTTTTTTTTTTAAAGATTTTATTTATTTATTTGACAGAGATCACAAGTAGGCAGAGAGGCAGGCAGAGAGAGGAGGAAGCAGGCTCCCTGCCGAGCAGAGAGCCCCATGCGGGGCTCGATCCCAGAACCCTGGGATCATGACCCGAGCCGAAAGCAGAGGCTTTAACCCACTGAGCCACCCAGGTGCCCCTGTTTTGTTTTTTAAAGCCAGTTCCCTTAATAACAAGATGCATGTCTTTTAGACCTGCTGACTTGTATTTACGCCAAATTTCCAGATGTTGCCTGTCTCTTTTTGACTGTAACACAAGTCTACTTACTTTCCTTTTTTTTTTTCCTTCCCTGGTTTCAGAGTATATTTCTGGTTGTCAATTACATTTAGACCTTCTCTATTAGCTATTTTTTGTTTATTTCCCACTTAGATTTAATCATTTGTGGTCCTCTTTGTTGCTTTTGTTTGATAGCATTAGTTCATTTTGCTTTTTAAACTAGATTTTACCTTTTATTTTCTAGGTGGCAAGATGTATCATACACAAATTGAGCTATTTCTAGCTCATTTGTTTCTAACACAGAATTCCACACTTTGTAAAACTGCATTAGGACATTTTTATTCCTCGTGTATGTTCTCTGTCAAAGAGGTTTTATTCTTGCCCCTCAATTATGGTATCTTTTATGATGCCTCACCTTTTTCATATTCTGAGTTTTGTTCGGTTCTTCTCATTGCTGGTACCTGCCAGCTTTCTCTAGGCAGAGAATCATTTTTCTGATTCAGCATTTGTTTTTTTTCTACTTTTAGTGGAGACAAGGGGTTCCTCATCTCAATGATTCTCAGTCAATTCTTCCATAGTGATAAAGGTTAGATGTGTAAAGGTTTCTTTTCTGCATATATTTCTAAATCGTAAGTTGCACTAATGATAATTTTACATCTTTGGTGCATGCTGCATGGCAGAATTCTGGCTTAGGCAGTAATTTGGCGGTTTAAAATCTATCTGAACACCCAGTAGTTAAAATCCTGTGTCACCTAGACAGAGGCAATGGTTCTGAGTTCAGAAGAACTTTATTTCCTCAGTGCATGTTTAGTCAGTTCCTGTGCTGATAGGCACAAGATCAGTACCACAGAATGGCTTGCATTTGGAGTGTTTTGTTCTTGTTTTTGGCAGTCCTGATGGCCTTCCAAATCCGATCCCCCCCCTTTTTTTTTGCTTTGTTTTTAATCTCCAGGTATGTCTTTCTTGGCACTCATAAGCATTTCTCTATCCTTTCTTTTTTCTTTGCTATCCTTTTTCTCAGTGTTTTCTCTCACCTGTGTCTATAATTCACGTTACATTTCTTTTTTTTATTTTTTTCCTGAAATCTCTAAAATTTAGTTTATTAAGCCATTTGGTTTTAAAAACATAACAAATATAATTCAAAGTTGGCCCTTCTTGGTTTGCGTAAAGAATGCAGGCTGTCCATAAAATTCCACCGTGCTGGAAGTAGTAAACAGTAGGAGAACACATATTTAATCTACAGTTCATTTCATTAACAGATGTTGGTAAGGATTCAACCAATTGTCTATGACAGTAGTGCTTTGTAGTACGTATGTAGCCACACATCTCTATAGATCAGTACAGCCGATATTATGCTGATACAGAAAATTCTCTCTAATCTCAAATTTATTGAAAAGCTGAGATTGGCAAAATACTTCTGACTTTCTAGTCTTATATTTTTTAGCAGCCTCCCCGAAGACACAGGAGACCTGGGTGGATTTTAGAGAGGCATTTGAGATACACAGACATTGGTAGTTACAACTTTCCGTATCTCCCTCTCAGCCTTTTTAGTAGTTTAGTTTGACGCAAATAGGTGAAGAGGTAAAAGGCGTTTCTAGCCATCTTTTTTCCACTAGGCATAGCATTGACCTTTTTCTTTGCAACCTCGTGATATTTGTGGCAATAAAAGAGTAAAGCCATCAGCCAATGGGAGTTCACAGCTAGAGCGCTCACCTAACAAACACCATTATCTTTCAGCCACTTCCATTTTCAAACCTCCTGAAGGCCCCAGCTGGTAGGACCTCCTGAATTCCCCCGTGCCTCACCCGGACAGCTCATGTACATACACAAGTGGCCGGAGTTAGAACCGTGGGCCATGCATAATGAAGGAGTGTTTGTGAACCTGTGTTGGAGACAGCTCTTTGAAAGTGACTTGGGAGAGAAGACTGAGAATTTTGGGGGGTGTCAGTTCATTGTTTCTAGGAGCAGGTTTAGATGAGTAGAAGAAGGTGGCAACATCATTGTAATCTCAGTCACTGGAAGCCAGGAATGTTGTTCCACCTCAGAGCAATTCCACAAGATGAAAATTAGGTCCTAAAAAAGAGAGAAAGAAAAAAAAAATGATACAAAGATCAACAAGTAAAATACAATTACAAAACCAGTCATAAAAAAAACAGACAAGAAAATGAACAACAAAAACAAAAGAAAGACAAAAAGCAAAAAAATTTAAAAAAATGAAAAACAAATTGGAGGTGCCAGTTAGATGTTTTTCAATAGTGGTTTGATCCATGTTCTTGTAAATATGATGATGCATTTCTTTTTTTTTTTTTTAATTTTTTAGAGATTTATTTATTTTATTTTAGAGAAAGAGAGAGTGAGCCCCAGTGGAAGGGGGAAAGAGAATCTGAAGAGGCTCCATGTTGAGTGCGGAGCCTGACAGGGGCTTAATCTCAAAACCCTGAGATCGTGACCTGCGCCAAAACCAAGAGTCAGTCGTTTCACTCACTGTGCCACCCAGGCTCCCCAACCGTGTATTTCTTAAAATAGCTAATAACTACTTCCTAAAATATTTTTATTACTAACCTTTAATACAGATTTTAGCTTACCAACATTTTAAAATCCGTTTTTCCATTCTAAAATGCTTAATTTGTATTTTTATTATACATTTAAATGTATAATTTATTATACATTTAAATGTAAAATTTATAATTTATATTCTCTCTTACATAATTTCAGAGGACTTTAAGGTACTTGTAAATAGTGTGAGTGATGAGGCAACTTGACCTTGGATAAGGCACTTGACTGACTGCCAGTAGCTTTCTGATCAGAGCCGTGTCATCACATGTGAAATAAAGTATTTTTAGCCAACGATAAGTAGTGTGTGAAATGAGAAAAGTCCTTAAAGCATCCAGTTAATATTTTGGCTTTACTGAATTGTCACTATATAAGTGTTCGCACTTTAAAATCTTTTCGAAAAGATCATATTACTTACATGATTCCCTTCCTAAATCTTTGAAGTTGCCCTTTGATTCCCCTCTCATCCCAACATGTGCTGTTTAATGCATACCCAGAAACTGGAAAGGAGTTAAAATTTTCCCCTAAATCCTCTGCAAAGCGTAGTTCTAACCATGATTAATCTGCATTTCAGTACATTCATTCATTTATTTATTTCTTCACCAAATATTTATTGATCTCTTACCCCATGCCAAGTACTGTTCTGGGTGCTGAAGATACCATAGGAAAAGCTAAACAAGTGAAAGTCCCTGCCTTTACGTGTTGCTTATATCTGCTGATTTCATGGCTTTTTGCGCTAAAGGTATCTATCTCATCATGCAGTCTCCTATCAGGAAATCTGTCTTTTATAACTCCCATGCTAGCTTTGAAGGTTGGTATGTATTCGTCTCCTGTGTGTCAAAGGTAAAAGCATTCGTGATGTGTATAGGTGTGTGCTATTAGTTTTTCTTGGGCTACTGTAACCAAGTACCACAGAAACTTATTCCTCACAGTTCTGGAAGCTGGGAAGTCCCAAGATCAAGGTTCCAGCAAGGCAGGTTTCATTCTGAGGTCTCTGTTCGTGGTTTGTAGACAACTACCATCTTGCTCTGTGCTCACATGACCTCTTTGTACATGGTCGGGCAGAGAAAGAGAGTGTACAAGCTCTCTGATACCTCTTCTTTTAAGGGCATTAATTGCATCAGGCAAGAGTCTCACCCTGATGACCTCCTTTAATCCTGATTACGTCCCCAAAGCCCCATGTCCAAATACCATCAAATTTGGAGGTTAGGGCTTCAACATAGTGGAGGGACATAAACCTTCGGTCTGTAACAATGAACATTGCTGAGAAGGTTGAAAGCTTTTCCATAGAGAGTGTACGCAGAGAGGAAAATAAACGTAGTTCCTGACAGTAGGACTGCTTTTCTCTCATCATGTTCTAGGAATTTAGGAAGACAATTTGCATGCACATTTCCCAAGTTACTGCTTCTTCTTCTTATTGGCAGACGTATTTGTCTTATCACTTTATCTCTTTCAATAATAGTGTGTTCACAAGCCTCATACCATCTGACTTCCTCTGTTTATCTTTATATTTCTTTGCTCACGTAACATAAGAATTACTTGAAACTTTTTTTTTTAATTTATTTTTATTTCTTTTCAGCGTAACAGTATTCATTGTTTTTGCACCACACCCAGTGCTCCATGCAATCCGTGCCCTCTCTAATACCCACCACCTGGTTCCCCCAACCTCCCACCCCCCCGCCCCATCAAAACCCTCAGATTGTTTTTCAGAGTCCATAGTCTCTCATGGTTCACCTCCCCTTCCAAGTTCCCTCAACTTCCTTCTCCTCTCCATCTCCCCTTGTTTCATTCCAGATGACCTTTGTGATGGGCATTCAGAAGACTGAATGAGCATGGCCCATTTGGCTGCCACCTTGGAGTGCCCAGGCAGTTGTCCTTGGTCATGTTGCTTGAAGTCCAGCGGCTACAGTGTTTCTTTTGGTCACATCTCTTGTCTGTGTCACTGATGACTCTTACCTCAGTTTCCACCCCCCTACCCCATGCCCGAGTTCTAAAACATCTCATGGCCCCATTTTCACCTGTGACATAATAGATTGTTCCTTGGCTTTCTGTCTTATGTCTCATTTCTCCTAACCCATACTTCCCCACTGCTGAAAAGAATATACTTACTGAAATAAATACTCGTTTAATCTTATGTGGCAGTTATCTTCAGATTTCTTCTATATCTTTGAAAATGTCAGATGTGCTCTAAAACCAGGATTAGGACTAAGAACTGGATTAGAAAGTCATGGGGACATCTTTCTTGTTTTTCTCCTTGTTTTCTTCTCAATCCATAGTATTTTTCTTCTATTCTGTTTTCTCTTCTTGCCTTTGAGTCTACTAGCTTTCATTTATTTCCCAGGGTTTAAGGCTAAGAGTAATGACAGAAAATGGGCTTTGGATTTGAGCCTATCCATATTAGGGAAGATAATGATGTTGAGGGACTGAATAAAGAGAAATGAAGAAATGATGATGAAAACATTTTGTTTGTTTCTGTTTTTCCTTCTCCTTAGCGTTCCCGTCCACTGTCTGCCTGTGATGCGGAAATGAAAAACCTTGTGGGCTCAGCCCGAGAGAAGGTGCCGGGGAAGTTAGGTGGTTCTGTGCTTGGTCTGTCAATGGAGGAGGTAAAGATAACTCAGGCCTTTGTGGGCTAATATAGGGTTCAGTGAAAATTACTGAGTGATTTATAACATTGATGACCAACTTGTATCTTATATTGAACATTGAACAAAGATTCAAGATGGGAGAAACTTGTTCTTAGAAAACAGAATCTTAGATGGAATTAACTTCTCCCTTCATGCTTCTTTCATATTTGTGGGTCGTAACTCTCTTCCTCTGCCCTGTAAACACATTGATTGCAGTTTTCAAAATGAGTGCTTACCCGATTTTCTCTTTCTGTATATAGATCAAAGTTTTACGGAGAGTGAAGGAAGAAAATGATCGGAGAGGTGGATTTATTCGCATATTCCCTACATCGGAGACATGGGAAATATATGGGTGAGGTGACTACCTTTTTTTTTTTTGATCTGTGCCTCAGGTCCACAGAATTGGGTTAATTATGACACAGGTGTTGGCATTGCTTTCCATGTGTGTCTGTCTTACTTTGTGTATTTACCAATCCAATACCTAGAGCATTAACAGAAATTTAATCTACCTGTGCATTATTCCTTTAAAAAAAAAATTCCCCTGCCTCCTTTGTAATAGCCCCTTAACCCTAGGTTAGACACTTTTAAAAATTTTAATGGTCATCATTACCTTTGAAGTAAAGTAAGTTATAGTAACATTTTACATTTTACCAAGAGTGTATGAGAGTCCTAGTTGCACCTCCTCTTTGTCAACAGTTGTTAGGCTTTTTAATTTTGGGCATTCTGGTGGGCATTTGTCTCTGTAAATAATGATATTGAGCCTTCATGTGCTATTGGCCATTTGTGTATCTTCTTTTTTTCCATTTTAAATTTAGGGTTTTTATTTTTTTTTGATGTTTGTGTTATAAAGGACTCTTGATACAGATCCTTTCTCAGACAGTCACATTGAGAATATTAATATTTTCTCCAAGTCTGTGGCTAGCTTTTTCTTTTTTTTAAGATTTTATTTATTTATTTGAGAGAGTGCACAAGTCAGAGGAGGGGCAGAAGGAAAAGAAGAGGGAGAAGCAGACTCCCTGCTGAGTGCAGAGCCCTATGCAGGGCAGGGCTCAATCTTAGCACCCCAAGGTCATGACCTGAGCCAAAATCAGATGCTTAACCAACTGAGCCACCCAGATGCCCCAAGTTTTTTCATTTCTATAATGGTGATTTTCAAAGAACAGGAGTTTTTAAGTTTCGGTGAAGTCCAATTGACCCAAATTTTTAAAAGATGCATTTTGTGTTTCCTGTCTAAGAAATTTTTGACAACCCCAACATCATAAAGCTTTTTCTCTTAATGATTTCAACTTTGACTTCTTATATTTTGGTCTGGAACAGTATTCACTTAATTTTTGTGTATGGTGTGAGGTAAGGATTGAGGTTCATTTCTCTTCATATGATGTAATATGTTTATTTCAGCACCATTTGTTGAAATTATTCTATTTAATTACCTTGGCATCTTTGTTGAAAATTAGTTCAAATATATGTGTGGGTCTATTTCTGGACTTTATTCAATTTCACTAATTAATCTGTCTCAATTACTGTAACTTTATATTGTCTTAAAATCAAATAGTGTAAGTCTTCCAACTTCTTTTAAGTATTTTGACTAAAAATAAATAAATAAAGTATTTTGACTATTATGTCCTTTGTATTTCTCAGGGCATTTTAGAATTCCCTCATCAGTTTCTACACAAAAACCTGCTGGCTTTTGATTGGGATTGCATTGAGTGTATAGATTAATTTTGGGGCAGTTGGCATTTTAACAATATTGAATTTTCCAATCCATGAACATGATAAATTTCTCTGTTTATTTAGGTCTTCTTTTTTTTATTTTTACCTTTTAAGTTTTTATTTCAATTCCAGTTAGTTAGCATACAGTGTCGTATTGGTTTCAGGTGTACAGTGTAGTGATTCAACAGTTCCATACACCATCCAGTGTTAATCATGACAAGTGCACTTGTTTATGTCTTGTCTTTTTCTTAGCAGTGTTTTATAGTTTTCAGTGTAAAGGTCTTGAATGTTGTTTTTTTTAAAATTTGTCACTTAGTATTTCATGCTTTTGAACAGTATTAAAAATGTTATTTTTTGGGGGCACCTGGGTGGCTCAGTGGTTAAGTCGTTGCCTTTGGCTCAGGTCATGATCCCAGGGTCCTGGGATCAAGCCCCGCATCTGGCTCCCTGCTCTGCGGGAAGTCTGCTCTCCCTCTCCGACTCCCCCTGCTTGGGTTTCCTCTCTTGCTATGTCTCTCTCTGTCAAATAAATGAATAAAACCTTTAAAAAAAAAACACGTTATTTTTTAAATAGCTTTATTGAGTTAGAAACTTTATGTCTTTAAAGAGTATAATATGTTACGTTCGTTTTAACATAGGTATATACCTGTGAAACTACCACAGAAATCAACATAATAAACTTATTTGTAACCTCCAAAAGTCTTCTTGTGCCTCTTTGTAATTCCTCTCACCTGCCCCTCCTGGCCCTTCCCTGCCTATCCCTGTCCCCAGGCAGCGATGGTCTGCTTTCTGTCAAAGATTAATCTGCATTTCCTAGAATTTAATTTAATAGAATTCTACAGATTGTTCTCTTATTTGTTGGGTCTTTCTTTTTACTTTATTATTATTAAAATTATTTTTAGATTCATACATGTATCATGTATCAGTAGTTTAATTCCTTTTTATTGTTGAGTAGTATTCTGTTACAGGCGTATGCCAGAATTTGCTTATTGTTCATCTGTTGATGCGCAATTTGGTTGTTTTCAGGTTTTTATTACAAATGAAGCTTCTTTGAATGTTTATATACAAATTTTTGTATGACATGTACTTTTACTTCTCTTGGGTAAATACCTATTTGTGGAATGACTAGATCATATTATTGTATATGTTTAACTTTTTAAGAAACTGCCACACAGTTTTCTGGAGTGGTTGTACCATTTTACGTTTCCATATTAAGTGTATGAGAGTTCCAGTTCCTCCACATTCTCACCAACAGTTGGTATGGTCGATTTAATTTTAACTCCTTAGGAGGTGTGTAGTGATAGCACATAGGTTTAACAGCCTTTCTGTAATGACTAATGTTGAATGTCTTTTCATGTGCTTATTTGCTGTTTGTATGTCTCTGTCAATCAAATATTTTACCCATTTTTAAATGAGGTTATTTGTTTTCTTATAATTAAGTTGTGAGAACTCTTCATATATTCTGGATATTCCTTTATTCCTAGCACTTGAAAAACGTTCCATTATCTTTTGTTTGCATTTTTCTGGCAAGAAGCATGTGGTAATTCTTATTTTATTTTATTTTATTTTCTGTGCAGAATGTGTCTTTTTTTCCCTATAGCCTGACTTTAAGATTATTTCTTTATGACTCATTTTCAACAGTTTGATTATGATATATATGCCTTGGTGTCATTTTCTTCATGTTTCTTCTACTTGGATTTGTTGAGCTTCTTGGTCTGTGGAGTTATCATTTTCATCAAATTTGGAAAATTTTTAGCCATTATATCTTCAAATAGATATTTTTTTTCTGTTTTCTTCTGCTCTCCTTTTGGGACTCGGATTTCATGATTGGCTGATTCTGATTTCAATTGGCTGATACTACACTACAAGTCTGGCCCTCCTCATTTTTTTAAGATTCTTTTTCTTTACTTTGGATGGTTTTCTGTTTCTCTGTTTCTAAATTCATTCATCTTTTTGTCTGCAGTCTCAAATCTCCTATTAATTCCATCCAATGAAATGTTCATTTCAGTTACTTTATTTTTCAACTTTAGAATCCACTGTTTCTCTTTATATCTTCTTTTTGTTTTTTCCCATTATTTTCATGATTTTTTAGATTTTTGTGCATATATTATAATATTTATGGTAGCTGTTTTTAAATCTTTGTTATTCTCTGTCATTTCTGCATCTGTTTCTATTGACTGATTTTCCTCATGTTCCCATTTTTTCTTCACATGTACAATGATTTTTAAACATTGGATGTTGCACATTATAAATGTATTGTTGAATTGGTTTTATTGCCTTCTTTAAATGCTTTTGAAGGTTTTTTGGCCCGATAGGTTACTTTTAGATCAGTTTAATCTTTTCCAGGCTCATTTAAAAACACACCAAAATTTTGGCATAATTAACATACAGTGTAATATAGTTTCAGGTGTATAATGTAGTGATTCAGCAATTCTGTACATTAGTTCATTTAAAACTATTCCTGTGGTTTGCTTAGGGTAGCTTTTTGTTTAGATCTAGGGAAGTTTTACTATTAAAGACTCTTTGGAGATGTCTGTTAAATGAGCCCATTTAACCCAATTCAATGAAATTTCTCCATTCTGGCTGATGGATGAATTCTGGAAAGTACTCAGCTTATACTTTCTCTTTAATATTCTTTACCTTGTCACTTGCTCGTTGCCCAGCCTGTGGACAAAATTACTCTATGACTAAGCAGATTTGTGTTCACTCAAAGACTCAGAGTCCCTTGTGATGCTTTTTCTTTTATTACTATAATGTTGAGAATCTCTGTACTAATTTATAGTTAACATATTTCTCTTCCTCTGGTGATTGGCTTTTGATCTAGTTGGGATATTAGTGGTTCTAAGTATAGAGCTAGAACTTAGAAGAATTTTTAAAAAGTACCCATTTTGTGTTTGGTTTGTTTTGAAAACCCAGCTGTTCATAGAGAAATCTTCCTTTCATCTTACAAAATATTCTATGAATGTAATTATGCCTTAGAAAGACCTAGGAGGGGCGCCTGGGTGGCTCAGTGGGTTAAAGCCTCTGCCTTCAGCTCGGATCGTGATCCCAGGGTCCTGGGATCAAGCCCCGCATCGGGCTCTCCGCTCGGTGGGGAGCCTGCTTCCCTTCCTCTCTCTCCGCCTACCTGTGATCTCGGTCTGTCAGGTGAATGAATAAAATATTAAAAAAAAAGAAAAGAAAAGAAAGACCTAGGAACACAACAGAAAGATATTGCTTGGGTTTTCTTTTGATATGTTTTTGAAGAATTTAGATATTTACAGTTCCTAGAAAACATCTTTTAATTAATGAAAGTGGAAACCTCTACTCTTGAGTATTTCAAGAGGCAGGATCTTAACTTGCATCCCTTTTCTCAGGAACCAATTACAGGTAATGTTGTGGTCTCTTAACAGAGTCCAGTAATGATTAGTTTGATTATACTGATTTGATTCTGAGCCAGTGGAAATAGGACAAAGACTAAGAGAGGTGGAGACCAAATTATCTCCTTCTTTACTGATAAAGTCTAGGCTGGGAGATTTGATTATTATCTGTCTACAAGCAAACACACTTTTTGTGCTCAACAAAAAGTTGAACTTCTGATATGGGCAGATTTGCATGCCCATTTGTAGGCAAGGTTAGACTGGGCTATGTGGGAGGAGCACCTGACCTTGTAGGACCAGCAGAGGATATATACTTCTTAAGGGGAAATTGTCTCCCAAGAGAAAAATGGGACTTGCTCATTCATGCATTTCTGTTTATTCTTCTTTTTTTTTTTTTTTTAAAGATTTTATTTATTTATTTGACAGAGAGAGATCACAAGTAGACAGAGAGGCAGGCAGAGAGAGAGAGGGAAGCAGGCTCCCTGCTGAGCAGAGAGCCCGATGCGGGACTCGATCCCAGGACCCTGAGATCATGACCTGAGCCGAAGGCAGCGGCTTAACCCACTGAGCCACCCAGGCGCCCCTGTTTATTCTTCTTAAATTACCAGTCCAGTTAAGTCATTCCACCTCTTCTGGGTCTCTGAGGAAAGAGGCAGAGTTGGGCCAAGAATATTAAACTAATTGAGCTGCCGTCATGTAGGGTAGGGACCTACCCTACATGTATTTATCTATTAGCAAATATGCCTTTTTACTAATATATATTTATTGAGCATCAGCTAGCTGTCTAGCACTGTGCTTGCTGCTTTGGAGTATAAAACCAGTATTAGATGGGACCCCTGCCCTTTGAGAGTTAACAGTGGGATAATGGAGAAATTACTTATACATATAATAAAAAGAGCTCATTTGTATGGCTTTTCGTCATTATAATGTACTTCATGCACATCACTGTTATTCCAATTTAATGATACGGAAAGTAAGGCTCTGTAAGGTTACATGACTTGTCCATGATCACCCAGGGGACTTGATTCAGGTATTCTGACTCTGAATCTGACTTTTTTCCCGCTATATCAGGCTGCTTTCTGAGAAGAAAACTTTTCCTCTATGAGACAGTGTATGACAGGTCCCTCCTTGGGCATTCAGGAAAAGCTAAGGTAGTTCAGACAAGGTCACTCCTCTAGTCTCAGAGCAGTCCAGTCAGGGAAGGCTTTGTGCAGCAGACTGGACTTGAGGTGCTTTTTGAAGGGTAGATCATAGATTATTGGAGAGGGTGTGAGGAGGTGTCCAGACCAAGGCGAAAGGATCACTGGGAAGTGTGGTGCGAGAGGAGTTTAAGGGAGCTTGTGTGGCCGTACGGCAGGATCAGTGTTGAGGAAACGTCTGGAGAAAGCATGAAGATACTGGTTGTGTAGCTTACCCAACTTTTGAAAGCTTGGAAGAGAAAGAGTATGCCACCTACAGTAAGCGTCAAGGAGCCACTGAAAGCTCTTGAGAAATAACGATTGAAACCATGTTCTGTCACATTTTCACACCCTTTATGCATCTCCCCATTCCCAGCTTCATTTGCCCTCTCTCTTAGTTTTATATGATTTTTGGTGGTGGCTTTGTTTTGGCCTTACAGTTTTATTTTCTGAATGTAGGATGTCACTTTTTATTAATCCAAGAAATCCCATTATTTTTTCTTTTTACTTCTAAATCAGCTCCTCCATTTATCCTTTTCATTTTATTGTATCTTCTGCTCCTCTGGTATTTTATAATTTTAATTTAAGCAACTTTCTCTTCCTTTGCCACTGTAGAGAACTGTACATTTATTTAGAAACCATATATAAGTAACCTGTCCCTTCTGTGCTTGATTCATGGCTTTATTTCCATGTTTTTTTCCTTCAGCCAAACTTAAGAAATAGCCAGTTTCATTCTTTGTCTTTCAGGTCCTACCTGGAACACAAGACCTCCATGAACTATATGCTGGCAACGCGTCTCTTCCAGGACAGGTAGGGATTTGCTGATCTCGTAAATTCGCTAATCTTATAAGATCACTAGATCATGTGATAAGGAGAAGGCACATACAAAAGAAGGAAAGAGGCTTTATTAAAAAAAAAAAAAAAAAGGCTTTCGTAAAATCTCTGCTACAAAGGGCCTTAGAGAAAACACAGTATCATACCTATTGTTCCAGAATTCATTAACTCTTAGCACTGAATGTAGAGGCCACAAATTAAACCATAACTATCTTTAAACAATCTTAACAAATGCCCTAAACTTTATTCTTCTTAAAGGAAGACCTGTACTCTGTGCCTTTTTACATCAGACACATGTCGCGTTAGACACAATTTTTTTAACGATTTTATTTATTTATTTGACAGACAGAGATCACAAGTAGGCAGAGAGAGAGGAGGAAGCAGGCTCCCCGCTAAGCAGAGAGCCCAATGTAGGGCTTGATCCCAGGACCCCGGGATCATGCCCTGAGCCGAAGGCAGAGGGTTTAACCCACTGAGCCACCCAGGCGCCCCTAGACACAATTTTAACAGACATGATCATGTGTTTTTCTAGACCAGAAGAGATTAGAATAATCAGATTAAGAAAGGTAGAGCAGGCCAGTAATTCACAAAATAAATACACCAGGGGTTGTAAAAAATGACAATTTATAATCTCAATACAAGGGATATTAAGGTAGAATGATGAAAAATGGACATTGGAATTCAAATAGCACAACAATCAGGCACTCCTTAGTCCCACATACTTTTATTATCCCTAAGACATAATTGTCTTGCAGTACAGTTTAGTAATTGACTATCAAAATAAGGAACCTCAGTTATTTAGAGAAATTTACATTATATTCAGGGTATGTGTACTTTTTCGCAGGATACTTAAAACAGATACCCAGATTTCAGTATTTCTTAAAATTTCATGATCTATTATCAGGAAATATGTGCAATTTGCCATTTCTCCCCTTAAATTTGTGGTTATTACCATTGATAGAATAATTACACTGCTTCGCTTCTAATGAAACAAACCTTCAGATTCACTTAGAAGACTAGAAACTCCGTTCTCTCTAAAGTTTCTCTCTCCTCCCCCACTATCGTAGAAACTTTTATAAGGCTCCTTTATATTTAAGAGTTTAGGTGTCTTACCAAGATAGGTTTTATCTAGTGTGTTACTTTTCATTAGTTTGGTTTTGCAGTGGGTGAGTCGCTGGAGTCTGAAGATTTAAGTCTTCCATCTATGGAAATATTCCCCTTGACCTCTCTTTTTCCTCTCCTTGAGAACTTCTGTTAGATGAATTTTGAATCTTTTGCTATATGCTTCATGTTTTGTTTTGTTTTAGCTTTTTTTTTTCATTCTTTTGATCTCATTGTTTCTTAGCTTTAAATTCTGGAAAGTTTCTTGAACGTTTTCTTCTAAAATTTTAAATTGATCTGCAGCCTGATCTATTTTGTTATTCAGTACCAGACAGGCGAAGGTTGCTCAGTTTACCTTTTTAACTTTGGCACCATTTTATTTTATTTATTTATTTTTTTGGAAGGTTTTATTTATTTATTTGTCAGAGAGAGAGAGAGAGAGAGATATCATAAGTAGGCAGAGAGGCAGGCAGAGAGAGAAAGGGAAGCAGGCTCCCTGCCGAGCAGAGAGCCCGATGGGGGACTCGATTCCAGGACCCTGAGATCATGACCTGAGCCGAAGGCAGAGGCTTAACCCACTGAGCCACCCAGGCACGCCAGCAAGTGTCATTTTAATCCAAGAACTACTTTTTGATTTCTGGCTAGATTTTAGAGTTCATGGCTATAATATTAAAATGGTTCTGGTACCATTTCAGTGTGAGCGGGTTCCCCCACAGCACCAATCACTTGCCTGCCTGTTTGGATCTGAGAATTCAACTCAGTTCTGGCACCATCTGCCCAGAGATTAGCATCAGATTGTGCAGTTTAAGAGTTCAGGCCTACAAGACTGTGTCATTCCCCATTCCTCCGCCTTTGCCTGACTTTGGATGCCTGTTAGCAAGGCCAGGTTGTCACCTGTGCTGCCAACTGACTGGCCACAGTTTGGGGTTTCGAACAACCTGGTCCTGGGCCTTTAATTCAGGCACGAGTTGCAAGTTGAGGTTGTTACTTGTACTTCTGACCTACCAGCTAAAAATTGGAGGTTCCTACCAGTCTCTCCTTCCTTTCATTTGATTAATTTGCTAGAACGGCTCACAAAACTCCAAGGAACATTTTGCTTACTAGATCACTGGTTTGTTATAAAAGGATATAATTCAGGAATGGCCAGATGGAAGAGACACTGAGGGCGAGGTATGGGGAAAGGGTACAGAGCTTCCATGCCCTCTCCAGGTGTGGTAGGTTTCCCCAGATCTCCATGTGTGCCCCAGCCTGGATGCTGTCCTTTTGCATTTTTATGAAAGCATCATTACATAGGCACAACTGATTAAATCATTGGCCGTTGGTGATTGAACTCCCCATTTCCAGGCCCTCTCCCCTTCCTAGAGGTCAGCCGGAAGTTCCACCCCTTTGATCACATGGTTGGTTCCTCTGGTGACCAGCCCACATCCTGATGGTGATCCGGGGCATTCCCAAAGTCACCTCATTGGCATAACCAAAGGCACCTTTACGGTGCTTACTGCTTAGGAAGTTCCAGAGGTTTTAGGTACTCTGTGCCAGAGATGGGAATGAAGACCAAATACATATATCTTTAATTTCTTTATTTTTTAAATGTACTCATTTATTTTAGACAGAGTGTTGTATCAGTCTGGACTGACATGGACTCTGTGTTTGAGGCTCAGTCTTTCCAGCCTTGGGCTTCCCATTAAGGGAGAGGGAAGTAAACCTTTCCATTTGGGAACCATCACCAAAATGAGATAGCATTCTCCTAGGGGGAGCATAACAATGAAGAGATTTCAGAGGTAGTAATATATGTTGTTTCTTTATTAATGATTCAATAAACAAGATCACCAGTGGGTCTGATAATCACCATAATTTCAAAAGTATGATACATGTTGCAATATTTTGAGATACCAACAACATCTCTAAAGTAATGTAAAAAAAGATGTGTTGGTTTTGTCGGGGGTGGTTTGGTAATAAAATCATATGAACACTGCTGCAGATGGTTTCCCACATGTATATGAAAGAAATGCTAAATTTCAGTTGGAAGATTAATTTTAGCCTGATGTCTACTTTTTCACATCCACCGATGGCTGATCTCTCCGTGTCAGCTTACTCTTTCATGCCTCCTCCTCACACACTGCTGTCCCATGGAATAGCCTTCAGTCCATCCCTAAGTTCTCCTGGCTGCCTCTTTCATCCTCTCATCCAGGCTAGGAGGAGGTTCTGCAGCCCTTCCGATCCCTCAGTGTGATCAGATTGCCACACTGCCTTATAATTGCTTGTTTACTTACTAGCCTGTCTACTTTACAAGTTGGCTTTGGAGAGTAGTACTTTGTTACCTTCATCTTTGTCCTTGTCAGTTTCTAGACCATACCGCCTGGTAGGCACCTTCACACAAACATGCACTGGAGAAATGAAATGCTATTTGTTGCATAACATCTTCCAGAAAGTTTGTTTCTCTTCAGTCTGAACTGATACTTTTCCTCGAAAATCCCCTTGTATCATTGTCAGAATTACTTTCAAACTAATTCCCTAATTACTTCTTAGGGAAATCATTTTCCTAATTGTTTGTCTTTCTTACCTCCCTCTCATCCCGCACCTGCCACCCTGCCTGGCAAACAGTATCTTACCTGCGGTCTTACAGTATGATGGCAGTTTTACCCTGGCTGCGTATTAGTAACACCTGCAGATTTTGTAAACCCTGTTGGTGTTCTGGCCCCACCTCCAGGCTGAAGTATTGGTATTTCTAAAAGCGGCCGAGGTGATTGTAAAGTGAAACCATGACTGCATATTACTGGAACAAACCATTATCTGATGAGAAAGTTAAAATCATCTTGAGGCTTTCTGATGATAAGGAGACATTGCCATGAAAAGAAGACATGGGAAGGGAAAGACTAAACATTTTAAAGATCTACTTTTCACTTGATTTTCTGTAAATAGAAAATCTTGACATTGATTGCATTGGTCTCCTTCCATAACTTCTTTTTTTTTTTTTTAAGATTTTATTTATTTATTTATTTGACAGAGAGAGACAGAGATCACAAGCAGGCAGAGAGGCAGGCAGAGGCAGAGAGAGAAGCAGGCTCCCCACTTGCAAGGAGCCCGATGCAGGGCTTGATCCCAGGACCCTGAGATCATGACCTGAGCTGAAGGCAGCGGCTTAACCCACTGAGCCACCCAGGCGCCCCCTTCCATAACATTTTTGAAAATTTTAAATGATAAATTTGAAATGATAAAGTTTTAAGATGAAGAACAGATTAAAAGGACCCAGGGGTTAGGTAAGAGGTGTGTGGTTTTAAAAGGATAACTGACACAAGGGATCCTATGGCCATGGGATTGTTCAGTGTCTTGCTGGGGTGACGTCTCCATGAATCTACACAGTGATAAAATTGTACTGAGCTAAATATACACATTCACAAATGGATACAAGTAAAACTGAGGAACTTAAAAAAGAGAGAGTGTGTATGTTAAATGAAAGGAAATTAAATGAGGAGAGAATGTTTTAAAAATAAAAGCTAATTTAAACATAAATGGCATTCACATCCTGTAGTGAGAGCCCAATTCTAGTTCAGACACTATGGAGAGCATCTCTTTTTTAAAAGGGATTTTTTTTTTTTAATTGTGAAAAATCGATTTCTCCTGAGCACCCTTTTTGAACCCTGTGAGGATTGAGATTGTTTTCCTTTACATAAAACAATTCGGTGAAACAGTTCGGTGAAAGCCTAAAGAAGAGCACTGGAGTCTGAGACCTAACCTCTGGGTTCCCATTTGAACCATTTGGGTATGTCACTAAATAATCTTATCTACCCCCCCCTGCCTTTTTTTAAATAAATGAAACTAATAGTAACCTTTTTCACATGGTGGTTGTGAAGAATAAGTTCAATTTGATTTGTAACTAAAGGTACAAATGCATGTAATTGTTATGCTTCTTTTCTAGAATCCATTTGTCCTTTCCCTTTTGTTTTTTATTGCTCTTCCCCCATGCGTATGGGACTCTCTTTTTTTCTCGACACATCTCTCTGCTTCTCCCCAAAGAGGCCCACCCTGGCATAATTCCATGTTATCCAGGAGTATGAGTGTGTGTGCGCGTGTGAAGTCAGGAGAGAATATCTGACCACTCCTCTAACCCAGTTGTCCTTTCTACTTCTGTAGGGGAAACCCAAGAAGAAGCTTATTGACAGGAAGAACACGGTAACTGATTTTTAAAAGTTGAGAGATTCTTTCCATGTGCACAACGTGTGACCGTGCAGGGGCTAAGCGTGATATTTTATGTAACCGTTTTTGGTTTGGCTCAGCTAGAATAGTAACATAAAAAAACGTTTCTATTCAAACACTATTCCAAGGCAACTTTTTACAAACCAAGTTTGGGATTTATTTTTATTTTTTTTATAACTACGGGTGTATCATTTGGCGGTGTGAAAGACACCAAAGTATAACTGAGATTTCAAAACTGTGTTAGAGTCATGTTAGAGTCAGATAAGTGGTTATGGTTGGCCTTGATATACTTGGGACATGTAATTCGGTGCCCTGTGGAACTGAGCAGAACTGCTCCCAGTTTGCCACAGAACTGAAAGTATGCAGAACACCTGTGACTCTTTACTCTGGTGGGGGAGAGAAGGGTCTCAGAGAAGGGCTGGGGTGGCCTTGACCAACCAAAGACCAGACCCCCAACAACTCTTAAACCTAAGCATATAACCGCCCTAGCTTGAGACCTTACATACATCCCCTTTGTGCTGTGCCTCTTTAGAAATCAAAATGGCAACAAGGAGAAAGAGACATCCTGTATCTAGCATTTATTTTTACATTTAAGGATTAATGAAGATAAACCTGGGTTCTCATCGAAACCCCTTGAAACATAAATCTAATTTTTGTTTAAAGAAGGATAACATGTTTTGTTTAAAGAAGGGAAAACTGGGGAAAGTCAAGTTTGTAACTTCCAAATGAAAGCCACAGTAAATTTATAAGTTTCCTCCAGTTTTTGTCAAAGAAAATGCTTCCTGGAGTATATTGCTATGAATTTGGCAATTAGATAAAAACGAAACAAAAGAAAAAGATCTTAATAAGACTATTTAAAAGTCAGTGGGTTCTGGCCTTTCTTTGTTTTTGACACTCATTTTATATTACCTTCAGGAGTTTTTTGGTGGCATAGAGATAGAAGCAGAGGAAAGCTGGCATATGGCTGACGTATGGCAGACCATGTACTGTTGCATGAAATACATCTTAATACATTTAAAAAATAAAATCATAAACTGCATGGTCTTTGACCATAGTGGAATTAGAAAAGCAGTAACAACAGAAAAATCTCCAAATATTTGGAAATTCACACATTTCAAAATAATCCATGGATCAAGGAAGAAATGAGGGAAATTGGAAAGTATTTTAAATTGATTAATAATAAAAATATAACATTAAAATGTGTAGGATGCACTAAAGGAGTGTTTTGGGAGAACTTTATAGCTTTTTAAATGCTTATATTAGAAAACCGAGGCCTACATAACTGATCTAATGTTTCATTTTATGAAACCAGATGAAGAAGGGTAGCCCAGCGTAAGTAGAAGAAAGGAAATAATAAAGGGTTGGAATCAATTAAATAAAAGACAGACAATAAATAATACCAGTAAAATCTAAAATTGCTCACTGATAAGATAGCAGAATTGACGAACTCTTACATAGATTGATCCAATGAAAAGAGAGAACACTAATTACCAGTATCAGATAGGAAAGAGGAAAATAATTTACAGACCCTACAGACATAAAAAGGATGTTAAGGGAATATTATTAACAACCTTATTCTACAACTTTGATGACCCAGATGAAATGGCTGAATTCTTGGGAGGGAACACTTAGCAAAACTGACACAAGATGAAATAGAAATTTTGAATAGCCCAATATCTATTCAGAATATTGATTTCATAATAAAAAAACCTTGCGACAAAGAAAATCCCAGGCCCAGTAGTTTCACTGGTAATTTCTTTCAAGCATTTGAGGAAGAACAGCAGCAATCTTACATGAACTCTTTCAAAAATACAGAAAGGTACACTTCGGAATTCATTTATGATGTCTGCATTAACTATGACATCAAAACCTTGTCTTTGTTAAGACATTTTTAAAAAGAAGAAAATTACAGGTGTGACATAGACATGACATAGATACAAAGATTCTTCAAAGATTTTTAGCAAATTGAATCCACCAGTATAAAATGGGGTAATACACATGACCAAGTGAGGTTTTTCCTACTAGTACAAAGTTAGTTTAGCATTTGAAAATTAGTATTATTCACCATGTATGAAGGAGAAGAGTTAGTTGATCATTTTATTAGATGCAAAAAAAGCATCCAATATAATTCACATTTATGAGAAAAATTCTTAGCAAGTCAGGAGTAGAAGGGAAAGTCCTTGTGTGAAAAATCTATTGCTAATATCATACTTAATGGCAAAATATTGAAGGCTTCCTTCTATATTAGTAGTATTGCAAGATGTCCACTTCTGGTATTTGTAAGCACTTTATACTGGAAGTTGTCCCAAGCCTGTACAATAAAGCAAGGGGTGGAGAGTGGGGTAGAAAAGGCATACAGATTGGAAAGGAAGAAATCAAATGTCTTTAGTCTTAGATGACATGATCTGGTTAATAAGAAATCCTAAAGCCTCCACAGAATAACTACAAGAACAGCTAAGTGCACTTAGCGAAGATACATGGCCAATATACTAAAATCGATGGCATTTTAACATAATAGCAGTAAATAAAAATTTAAAATTTTGTTTATGATACATTTGAAAATATGAAATTCTTAGGGATAAATTTTATAAACTATGTTCAATACTTATACAGTAAAAGCTTACTAAATATTACTGAAAGAAATGAAAGAAGCCCTCAATAAGTGGGGAGATAAGTGATGTGCATGGATTAGAAGACTCAATTTTGCCAAAAAAAAGGTTCATTCTCTCCAAATTGATCTAAAGATCTGGTGCAATCCCAGTCTATTCTATTCTATTCTATTCTATTCTAATCTATTGCAGTAGATTTTTTTTTTTGTAGAAATTGACTATATTTTTTTTATCACCAGCAGAAAATGACTTAAAGAATTTTTTTTTAATGTGGAAATACAAGGATATCCAAAGTAATATCCAAAAGTAATCTTGAATATCCAAAGTAATCTTGAAAAAGACTTAGGGTAACTGACTGAAAGAAATACTATAATGCTATAGTAAGCAAAACTGTGGCAAGTCAATCAGTGGAACAGAATCAAGAGTCCAGAAATAGTCCTATATTTATATAGTCGTTTGAGTTCATCAAAGGGCCCAAAGTCCAATGGGAAAAGGAAACTTTCTTATATTAACATATAATGCATTGTTTCAGGGGTACAGGTCCGTGATTCATCAGTCTCACACAATTCACAGCACTCACCATTGGAAACTTTTTTTTAAGAGATGATTTTATTCAGGCTATCATAATAGGAGAAATGTCATTGTTTTCTTTTGTTTTGCTTTTTGGGTGTTTTTTGTTGTTGTTATTGTTTATTTATTTATTTTTAGAGAGAGAGAGAGAGAGTGGGGGCAGGGGAGGAGCAGAGGGAGAGAGAAAAAATATTAACCAGGCTCGACCCCTCAGCATGGAGCCCAACACGGGGCTCAATCTCACGACCCTGAGATCGTGACCTGAGCCAGAATCAAGAGTTGGAGGATTAGCTGACTGAGCCACCAAGGCGCCCCAAAAGGAAACTCTTTTTAACAAATAGAGCTGGAACTGGATATTGTGCTCTTAAAATTGAACCTCAACCCCTACCTCCCAGGAAAATCAGAGAGGATTCATGGTCATAAACATAAAAGCTGTTACTATAAAACTTCTTGAGAAAAATATCTTTGTGATTTCGGGCTTGGCCAAAGTTTTTAGACATGACACAGAAAGCAATACCCAAAAAGGAAAAAATGATAAGCTAGATTTCCTCAAAATAAAAAACTTTTGCTTATCATCACATACTGTGAAGAAAGTGACTAGGCAAGCCCTAGACTGAGAGCAGATACTCATCAAACAAAGGACCGGAATCTAGGAAACATAATGAGCTCCTCCTGCTGAAGAATTAGAAGACAATTAATCAACCCTTTTACAAATGGATGAAATATTTGAACAGACACTACCAAAAGAAGGTGTGTGAGTAGCCAATACAGTCGTGAACACGTGCTTAACATTAGATACCAGAGAGTTGCAAATTAAAATCGTGAAATACCACTAAACATCCAGCAGAGTGGCTAAAATTCTGTCATCATGTTGCACACTTTAAATGCCTTACAATTTTATTTGTCAGTTACAGCTCAGGAAAGCTGGGGGTGGGGTGCAGAGCCCAAGTGAACGACAGCATCAGATGGTGAGGGCGGGGAGCTGATGGGAGTCTGATAAGTTGTCGTTGACAGCATAACCTTGTACAAGCACTTGAGAAGGAGCCTGCCAGTTTGTTAGCCTAGAAAGCGCCATGCTGAGATCTTTACCCAGAAGGAATGAAAAAAATAACCACAGAATGACTTGGTACAGAATTCTTCCTAGCACCTTTATTCATAATATTCCCAAACTGGAAACAACCTAGGGGGTCCAACAACCAGAAGGTGGGTAAACTGTGGATTATTCACAGTGGACTAATCCTCCACAATAAAAAGGCATAAATATGGATACGCACAACACAGATGAACCTCAAAAACATGCAGAATGAAAGGAGACCTACACACAAGAGTCCTCACTGAATAATTCCATTTGTATGAAGTTCTAGAACAGGCAAACCCAATGAAAATGTGATGAAAAAACTTAAGACAGTGGTCTCCTTTAAGAGTGGGAGGGGGAGGGATTGACTAGGAAGAGGCCTGAGAACTTTCTGAGGGGGTAGTACCATCAGAGTTCAGGTTATATAGTTCTAGGCATTTGTCAAAACTCATCAATGGGCATTTAATTGGGAATTTCACTGTATGTAGTGTTTAGCTCACCAAAAAAACAAAACAAAAGCAAAAAACAAAAACACTAAACCACCAAAAGCCCTGTAAAACAAATACTGAACTCTAGTGACTTAATGATGTGCATGTTAAAGCATTTAGGAGTAAATTGCACTGACTTCTGTGTATAACTTTGAAATGCTTTAAAAATTAGATGGATTGATGGTTGAATAGAAGAAGGGACGGTTGGATATATGTGCTGAAAGAAATATAGCAATATATTCATGGCAGAAACAAGGCTGTTGGTACATGGATGTCTGCTGTCCTATTCTTAAAACTTTTGTTTGTGTAAATATTTTCATAATAAAAAGTTGGAAAAATAAAATGAGGTAGATGTAGCTAAAAGATGCAGCTTATTTATACAGAATCCATTTATACAGAATTCAATTGTTTATTCAAAAATATTAATGATATGTCATCTGTGTGCTGGGTTGTCTCATGGGCATCTGTAACCCAGTGGTTGACAAGACAAGCATGGTCCTTACCCTCATAGAACCTTAATTGTGTTTATCAGAAATGTTTATCACACTTTCTCCATCATTCCCTACCTCCAACCCTTGTACTATTTGAATTTATTGCTCTGCTCATGGTTTCTTCGAAGCTCACAATTGTTACTTTAAAATGTTAGATTTGTTTCATTTTCTTTATTATTTAATTGGCTAAATATTTTCACAACCATGTGGGTGTGGTGGGGGGGAGTGCAGTGTTCATTTTTTGGGATGATGGTAAGCTAGGTTTGGGGTATTTTTATTAATTTGCTTCTGGTTTCTGCCCCAATGTGTCAGGACCATCCCTATTCCTGGCCCAGTTTCCTGCTCTAGAGAGAAAGTTTCTAAAAGACTCACTGTCCAGTTTATCCACTCAGAAATCCCTAAAACTCCTACATAGATCAAAAGACACAGCCTTTCCATCATTATCAGAGATTGAAAACTCCCAGAGAAAAGATGATGATTCCTTGACCTCAAAGGGAATACACTTCGAATTCTAGGGAGTTCAGTTCTCTGAGGGAATTCATAGCCAACCAGTTAGATCTTGAGTTCTGAGTATACACAGTCAGCTGCCTGCTTTCAGACACTGAGACAGATACTTCTTTCCTGACCCAGTGACCAAGACCCCCTCTCTCCGCTGACCTTGTTACCTCTGCCTGCATGGTACTTTTCCCGGTCCTTGTTTGAACTGGGCCTGATACCAGTTACTTCCCTAACTTACGATTTATCTTACTTTAATGCCTAATGTAGCTGCTGCCTTCCCCTTCCCAGCCCACCTCCCATTCACAGCATGATTGAACTTGGCTTTGTCCAACATCTGCTACCTTTCCTTGTTTGTGCCTCTGACTCTTAACTCCTGACCTGTACTCAATATTTGGAGATGCCCTATCACCTCCCCCACCCCATCCCTCTTAACTAAGTAGACCCTAAGAGAGGAGTTCCTCTTGTTGGAATGCTAGAGACTTGGTGTGTCTCTGGGCCTTGGTAACTTTCCTAGGACACTTCCCCCGTAAGTCTTAGCTCTGTGCTACCATATTCACAGGTATCAGCTGTCCCTCCCCTTGTCTCAACCTCTGCTAAATCTGTATTTATTAAGTACTATATACATTCAAAGAATATTTGTGTAAGTCTGAGTAAATTATAATGAATAACAATAAAACAAACACCTCTAGCCACCACCCAGCTTAAGAATTAAAGTGTTACCAGTGTTGCCCAGTCCTCCGTGTAAGGTTTTGGGTAGCACTCGTATGGGTCCTGACATAAATAGTCAGCCAGTATGACCGAATATTTAAAAACACTTAAACACTGTCTTCAGGTATATTTTTGTTTGACAAATTCATACAGGCCATTAGTGGAGTTTTCACGTAGATTCCAATTTTCCCATTTATCTGCCAAACCTTGTACAATTCACTAGAGGTACCATATCCATCCTGTCGTCATTACAGAATTCTGTCAAGAGTAGCCTTGGAATAAAGGAGAAAACTCTCTGAAGACTGTAGCTACCATCTGGTTTTTTCCCATAGACTAGCTGCTGACGGAACCCCGGAACTGAAGGTAGAGAGTATGAATTCAAAGGCCAAACTGCACGCTGCCCTCTATGAGCGGAAGCTCCTGTCTTTGGAGGTGCGAAAACGTCGACGACGGAGTGGCAGATTGAGGGCAATGAGGCCAAAATACCCAGGTACCTGCTGGTGAGCTTACGCCAAACTCCACTGACCGGGTCTTGCCATTCTGAATTAATTGCCTTCTTAAGTAATACTCAACGAATAAGAACCTTCCTGATCACATCCGCTTAAGGTTTTTGTATAGTCTTTTTCTCCAAAACTTAATTTCAGGAGGATTGTAAGTTTTTAAACCTTCCATTCTGTGATATTTGTACTGAAGAATAACTAAAACACACATGTTTTTGGCTTTTGCTCTTACTTCAGCATCGTATAACTAGCTGGTACTCTAGAAATACTTGAGCTATAAAAATATAAAGAAATGCTTTACCTTAAGTTTAATGGAATCCTGATCATCATTATTCAGCTTTTTTATGATGAGGTATTAAATCTAGTTCACCCCTTGACATTGCTGAATGGTATAAATATTTTAACCATGAACAGACAAGGAGGAATTTCTTTCCCAGATAATCTCATTTTTAGGTCTATTTATCACTGACCCTTTCTCTCCTCTCCCCCCGCCCTCCTTTGTTGAGCACCTGTATCCGGCACGTTAGTCACTAGGGCTTCATCAATAATAAAAAAGATAGGTACCTTGTGTATCCGGCACTTTAGTCACTAGGGCTTCATCAATGATAAAAAAGATAGGTACCTTGTCCTCACAGACCTGCCAAGTCGGTGAAAGAGAAAGATAACAAACGTAGGATAGAAAGATATTCCCCTGCTCTGTGTACCTCCATAAAAGGTGCCCTTCTAGAAACCTCTAACACACTGTCAAGATTACGTAGATATTTGCCTGAAGTTGTGAGAGAGCCATTGCTATTCTCCTGAGAAACATGAGCTCTAATGCAGTTGGGTTTTTAGAGTGCGAAAGGCTGGAGAGGGACGTGTATGCTGTTCATTTTGTGTCTCTTTTGTGGTCTTAGAGATGGGTTTTTACTAAAAAGATGGAAGGAAGGTATTGGGAGAGAGGAAAATTTAATCCTTTTTTCAGCAACATTAGTGATTCTCCGCATTTAGTGATCACTCAGCCGGCCGAAATGAATGTTAAAACTGAGACAGAGAGTGACGAGGAGGAAGAAGTCGCGTTAGACAATGAAGATGAAGAGCAGGAGGCTTCCCAGGAGGAATCCGCAGGGTCCCTTGGAGAAAATCAAGCCAAATACACCCCCTCATTGACTGTTATGGTAGAAAATCCGCCCAAAGAAAATGCCATGAAAGTTTCTGAATGGAATAATAAAGGTGAACAGTGCTGCAAAATGGAGACTCAGGAGCCAGAGCCTAAATTTAACCTGATGCAGATTCTACAAGATAATGGCAATCTTAGGTATGTACCTTTGGTAATTGGGATAATAAAACCGATAACCTGCATTGTGTTCCAGGCACCATGCTGGTGGCTTTGCAGCTGTTTTCCTTTTCTTACAGCATCCCTGGGAGGTAATGACCGTGATTTTATTGTTATTGTTACTGTTAAGGAAACTGAGCCTTAGAGAAGTTGCCTGTCCAAGGTATAGAGCTATGATCCAAAACCCATGTCTCATGGGCCCAACGAATGTTTGTTGGTTTGAATGTCAGTCACTGTAAGTGCAGAGTTCAAGTGGCTCATGGTTTAATGTAGGGATACTCAATGGGCAGGGGCCCCAATATGGACAAAGTGCTCTTAGGACACAGAGAAAGGAATGACTAGTCCTTCCTGGGAAGGCAAGAGGGACGTTAGGGAGGTGCAATATTTGAACCAAGCTACAGCTGATGAGCAGGGATGCCAGGAGGGCTGGGAGGTGGCAGCTGTGTGTTGGAGTACCCGTAGGGGAAAGAAAGGCAGAGAGATGCGATGGTTTGGTCAAGTCATTCAGCCCCTCAACAGTGGTTTATTGAGCACCTGCTTTGTGCAGGAATTGTGCTAGGCTATATAGTTATGTGGAGAGAAGGGTGCAGTGAGAGATAAGACCAAAAAAATGGATGCCATTTAATTATAAAGTTCTCTAAGAGGAGCTGGGACTATATTTTCTAGATGGGTAATTTTTAAGCCGATGAATGATATGGTCAGATCTTGATTTAGAAGGTAAATTCTGGGTGCATTATGGGTCAGTGATTGATAAGAGGAGAATGAAAAGTAGGAAGATGAGTTAGCAGCTGTCACAGTAGTCCAGAGCCAGAAGATGAGGCCTTGGCCAGAGCCATGGCTACTGGAATGGAGAGAATGGGATGGACCGAGTGAAATTTGCAGTCAGTCAATATAAGGAGCATAGGAGTTGGTTTCAGGACAGAAGTATGTTTCATTTGGGACACAGTGAGGCGGAAGGGCTCTGGGATGAAGTTGTTCAGTGGATAGGTGAAGATACAGCTTTGAAGGTCAGAGTTGAACAGAACTTGGCAGTTGGGAATGTTAGAGTGGGTGAGCTTGTCCGATTCACTTTAGTCCAGCAAGCCCAGACAGGAGAAAAGGAGGAGCGTTGAGGCCTGGGGAAGACCAGTGTTGAATAGTAAGAAGATAGGAACCAGCAGTTAAGAGAGGTAAGCACCAGGCCTAGGAGAAGGGAGTATGGTAGAAGCTCCAGAATGAGAGTTCCAAGCTGTAGTGTGCCTCAGACAGCCCGAGAGAGCACGCAGAGTGAGAAGAGACTCCTGCATTTCTGACCCAGGGCCAACTTGTGAGTTGTGAGAAATTGTGAGTTGTAGAAATAAGAAAGCAGGTGCAAGCCAACTTTTTCAGAGGATTTGGCAGTGAAAGGGAGTTGAGAATGCATCAGCGAGAGCAAGCGAAGAGAAAAGGATTTTTTTTTTTTTTTTTTTAAAGATGGGGATTCTGGAGTGTATTTATAGACTAGGGGAAGAAGGGTTTGAGGGAAAGAGCATTAGGGGCACCTGGGTGGCTCAGTCAATTAAGCATCTGACTTTTGATTTTGGCTCAGGTCATGATCTCAAGGTCGTGAGATCGAGCCCTCCATCGGGCTCCCCACTCAGAGCACACTCTACTTGAGGTTCTCTCTCCCCCTCCACCTTCCCCCGGCTCATGTTCTCTCAATAAATAAATAAATAAATAATAAATAAATAAATAAAATTGTTTTTAAAAAAAAAGAAAACAAGGATTAGAGATGCAGAAATGTATATATTGCTAAGAAGGGCCCTAAAGGAAGGTAGAAAGAGGCCACTGGAGGGGTGTCTCTTACTGTAAGTCGGAAAGAAAGCACTGGGATGAATGCAGTAGTTAGAAGTTAACCAGGAAGGAAGGTTAAGTATTTATGCATTTTGGCCTTTATAAGTTAGAGGTCAGTTCTTATATTGCAAGGCTGGTGGGTAACATTGGGTTTCGGGGAAGTGGGGAGATGAAATTAAGGTTTGGAACAGTGTCCATGGAGAATAGCATAGTTTTGTTCAGTGGAGACCACACCAAACTGTCCGAAGACCTGGATGCTCACTTTTTAGGGCTCACCGACGGACTGTGTGATCATGGGCTACTTAGAGAGCTTCTCCACGCCTCAGTTTCCTTTTCCTTTAGGCCAAGGTATGGGGTTAAACAAATGTTTTTCAAACTGTGCTTTCTGGAGGGGAAAAAAGATTCCACTGAATTGAAATAGAACATTTGAAAACCACTGGACTATATTCTAAGGCCCTTTCCAGCAATAACATTCTACTTAGCTGTTGTAGAAATAAATTATTTCTTCATAAATCTCAGGGATCTGACTTTCAGTGAGTAAACTGTTGCAGTTGCCTGGTGTGTTAATGCAAATCAGTGGTTTTCAGACTCTGTTGCCTCGAGCTACCCATCATCCCGTGGGGCATCTCCATGGCTACTGAGAGGTCTCAGGGAGGTCATGGCAAGGATTCGAGACTCTCAGCCCTAGCCTTTAGTTGTGTAGTTTTTATACTAAGGATCCATATAAGCTTAATTTAAAAAAAAATAGGGGTTTCTTTGGTATAATCATTCTAGTTTTCATTCTTTCATCTTTTTGGGTTTGTTGCATATGACTAGCTGACCAATGTGTACAGTACCTTAAGGCCAGTCCCAGAATGAACAAACCCAGGTTGTTTCAAGAAGGTTTATAGAAATGAAAAACACAGTACTTGTTCATTTGATCTGTGGCAATGATTTGCAACAAAATAATGGTTGAAATCTCAACCTCCAAGGGATAATTCCCTATCCAAAAGACCTTTATGTTTTAGCGTTAGAGGAATAGTTAAATCAGATATTCTGCACTTTGGAGGTGTCTGAAACATGCCATTTCTACCTCATTCGATAGCAAGTGAATTTGTGAACCAAAATTAAGAATCTTTTTCACTTGTTTTGTCATGAAAAGAATCTCTTGTGGAGAGAAGACTTTTGGGAATGGTTGAGGGGAAAGTGGGATGTGGTCTCCAGGTGAACAAGAGTGTAAGTGTTGCCCTTGTTGAGAAACATTCGAAAATTTAAATTTGTTTCTTCAAAATCATATTGTACTCCCATAAACTCTCCCCATTAGTAAAAAAGATGTAGCCTGCCTTATATTTTATGCTCTGAAGATCTTCTCTATTAAACTCTCAAGAGCAAATCTACTTCTCAACCTGATTCCCCTCCCTTTCAGTCCCTCCACCACAAACATAGAAGTTAGACCTAGATCTTCTTACGCTGTCCACTTCCCTCTGGAGAAGTCCTTCATCCTAACTGTGGAGGAGCAGTGAGTAGAAAGCATTCAGTGATTGCATGTGTGAGGGCTGTAAACAGAGTTTGTGTTGGGCCCTAATCTTCGCTGATGTAATTTTGGCTGTAGTGTCAGAAGGCCGATCAGCTGAAGTAACCAAAATCTGTCCTGAAGGAAAACAGATCTGCTACAATTAGCAGCTGAAGTGAAAATCATCAGTGCGTCTCTGGTATTTCTGCCTTCTAAGCCATAGCTTGAACAGATTTCCTTATTTCCAACCTAGACCACCAAGCAGAAATGTGCTGGGTTTTTCAGTGATGTCGCTGAGGTGCTCATTACTATATGTAAAGATTTCTTTTTCCCACTGAACATCTGGGCCTGTCCTAGCCTGTCAGTTCATCTATGCCAAACTCTGTTGGACCTCACTCATTTGTTCTGGGCTCCAGCCATTCCTGTCTTGTAGTTGAGAAAAGCATGACCTTAAAAATTTGGTCTCAAAAGTTCCTTTGTAGGATTTATCTATTTCCTGCATTGGAGGCCTTTGCACACCAGAAATATTAGTTGCCATATCAAAAGCATACTTTTGTCCCAAATGATAAGTATATAAGGGCCTCCATGTTCTTGTGAAGGTTTAGTACTTTTCCTGTCCCATTTCCCCCAAGGAAGTTGTTAAAAAGTTCAGAGATAAGGTAAAAGAGTAGGAAACCTGATTTCCTATTCTTGTTTGATTTTTTTCCTCCCACATTAGTAATAGAGAAACTAAATAGGATTCTTTAATAGAAAAAAAAATCTCATATACTCTGTAGAAGGAATCTTTATAGTCATATGATTGCATAATGGGCTTCATTTGTCTCTGCCATCCTAACGGGATGATTGTCACAGTCCACTTCGAGTGAAGCAAGTACGTATTTGGTAGGCTTACCATTCTGTCTCATAACAAACACTATGTTGTTTTGGATTTCTATAGCAAAGTGCAGGCCCGGATAGCATTCTCTGCCTATCTCCAGCATGTTCAAATTCGCCTGATGAAAGACAGTGGAGGTCAAACGTTCAGTGCCAGTTGGGCCGCCAAAGAGGATGAACAGATGGTGAGACTCTTCTTGCTGGAACCTTTTTACTTGCCCTCTTTCTTTTCTTCTTTTTCTTCTTCCTCTTCCTTCGCCCCACCCCAATTAGGGTAAAGAGCAATATAGTCTTGTGGTGAAAGAGTTGTTCCACACTGTAGATTACAGATTTCCCTTACTTTAACGTGATGTAAATCTTTGATCTGGGGCCACGTTTATCACACCATGTTGAGGGCATCGGTTTATTTTATGCTAAAAATGGAAATTGGTTGCTCATTAGATGTCAGGCCCTGTCCAAAGCCCTCAGAAAGAACAGTAATTTAGAACCCTTTAACTCTGCAATTTCCCCATTGCATTAACTCTTTGACGTGGGCACCGTCATCCCATTTTGTAGCTGAGGTAACAAAGACCGAGAGCAGGGATGTAATTTGCCTCTTGTCCCACAGCTTGTGTGGGGTGAGACTGAAACTCGCACTCACAGGTTACGATTGTACAGTGTTTGCTCTTCCCTTGTTTCCATGCATCACAAGGCATTTGTTTTCTGTCCTGAGGGGGTCCGGTTAGCCCCGTGAAAGTCAACACTTTGTCGTAGGCTCCCTGAGAATGTACCGTCCTCCATTTTAACATTAATTCTCTAGTAGTTGAAGTTTTATAAAGTTGTGGAAACAAACCGTGTAGTAATGTTTGCTGCCTATCAGTCATTTGAACATGCCTAGGATTTAGTATTCTAGCAAGGTGTTTCTTTTTGAATTGGAAGGACCGGGAACTTCATGTTCTTCGTAAGGTCAACACTTGTAGAAGAATCCACAGCCCTTCCATAGCCTTTGACCACAGGGATCAGTTCCCCACAAGAGAGAGACCTTTAAAGCTTGAGAAAGCTGCATCCTTTGTCCAACTCAGTGGTGACCCTCCCATAATTTTCAGTTCTCCACATACAAGAAGCATACTATGTGCCAGGCTTATTGTAAAAACACCATGGAAATCGCAGAAAACAACCTGTGAATTTAAAGTAGTCTGTACAACCCAGAGATAAAACCTTGTGTGTTGTGAATAATCCTTCAACCATCAGTGGAAAATGTTAGCTCTGCTCTTTCCAAGTGGAAAATTGAAACTGCCTTTTTGAGAGTCAGTTTGTCTGCTCCACGGTGAAAAAATAATGTTTTAGTGTAATAGCTTAAACCACCTGATAGTAAAGACAGCAGAGTAGAACCGTGAAATCCAACCTGTGGTTATGAGGCTGTTCCTTCATGCTGGAGTAAATTGGCACCAAAGAACAATGAACCAAAATCACATTCAGGAATTAAAAAAAAAAAAAAGCTCAGAATAGAATAACTCCTGCAAGCGCTGGCTTGGAACCCACATAGGATTTGGGGGCAGCGGGGGGTTACGAGAATACTTAGGATCATCACTGCAAAACTTAATACCAGTTCTGTGCATTCCTGTTTGAAAATCTAGCTGGAGAGCTACCCTAAGCCCTCCCTTCCCTGATAACTGCAGCGGGGGGCGGTCTTGACAGGGAAGGTAAGGGTTAGGATTGTCTTCTCTGCCCCAGGTTAGGGTTAGACATTCTTTATCACAGAACTCACAGGGGGCACGTCCATAGAAGGTCCTCAAACCTATCATCTTAAGGCAATTTTAACATGTTGTGGGGGCGTGAGGAGGGAAGGAACAATTCTCTTTAAGGCCCTTGGTCTCACAAAATCTCTCTTGGAAGCATTTGTTGTGCTGTGAATGATCTGATTGGTATCTGTTGAGATTTCAAAATCCTTGGCCCCATGTCAAGGGAGATGTACTCTTTGGACCCCTTAATGACTTTCCTCTGTGCCCCTCCCAACCCCCTTTCCCGTGGGGAAGGGAAAAAGAAGCCACCACCTCTCACGTATATACAGTATTGGTTCGTTCTTTTTCTTTATCACTACACTTTCTAAACGAGCGGTTTCTGTTCTTGATTACCTGTGCTCTCCTTGGCCTCTTCTTCCTATTCCTTTTCCTTCCTTCAAGTGTTCTCTTGAAGTTATCTCACAATGGCCAGATCCACAGCCTTGTCTTGGTCCTGGGTCTTCTCAGCTCTGGTCTCTTGGAAGCTTTTGACATGGGGCCGTTAAGTCCCTTGGCTTCCATGACACTCTTTTCTCCTAAGGCTTTGTTTTTGTTTTTGTTTTGTTATTTTGTTTGGTTTGGTTTGGTTTGGTAAATTTCTGGTGTTTCTGCCATGGGTTTTTTGTTTTTGTTTTTCTGATTCTTCCTCCTCTTTCCTATCTCTAAGTATGAATATTTCTGTTTCTTTCTCTGCCTTCTCACCTTTGATGATTTCATCTGCTCCCATGGTTTTAATTTCCACTGTCTATCCTTGAAAGCTACTTCCCCTAAGTAGCTCTCTCTGATCAACCTACTAGCAGTGGTATCCGCACATTGAATTATTATGGCACTATTGGCATGTGAGTTGTGGTACTTTTACAGTTACTTCTCTAATATATAATTATTTGCGTACATAATTCTTTTGATTTTCTGATTGTCAGCTTATTGAGGGAAGAGTAAGTTTCTTTTGTCTCTCTGTCTCCTTCTTATACCTAATGCTTTTCCTCTGGGTCTTATTTGTTGAAATGTTCAGTGTACCTTTTCTCATATCTCCATTGGGTAAACCCTTCCTAGCCTGTCTTCTGGTGCTTAGTACAATCGCTGTTTTCTTTTCCCCGACAACTCTTAATAGGAGCTAGTGGTTCGCTTCCTTAAACGAGCATCCAGTAACCTCCAACACTCACTGAGGATGGTACTACCCAGTCGACGATTGGCACTTCTGGAACGCAGAAGAATCTTGGCACACCAACTGGGTGATTTTATTATTGTGTACAACAAGGTGGGTGGTTTTTCTTTCACTCGTGTGTTTTAGATTGCTATACCCTGTTAGCAGCAGGCTAGAAGCCTGTGTCCTGCTGGGTGGAGAGGTCCTTCTTTCTTCTAGTGTTGTCAGTCCTTGTGTGTAACTATTACAGGCAGCTGGACCTCACCCCTTAACCTAGCTGGTCTGTAAAGCTACTTACTACTTCTAAAAGCCCAGTGGCCATAGTTAATGCTTATCAAAAAGCATATTCCCTTTGAATGCTGTTGAGGCTGAGATGAACTATGGATTATGTGAGTTTGCATTATCATTATTATGCCTATAGACAGTGGTGAATTGACTATTTGAGAGCAAATTAACTGTGGATTTAATAGAATGACATAATCTTCTTTCCTGAGAGAGTTACACTTTCTATCCGAGAACATCTTAGACGGTGACATCATTTTACAACCAAGACTAGGAAATATACTACTTGGTTAGAATATTTTGCAAAGTATCTGCTGTCCAGAGGGTCTTAGAATGCTTTGGAAGTATCAGTATTTGGGAGAAAAAAGTATGGTCATTTAGCAGAAGGGAGAACTGAGGCCTGGAAATTTAAATGGCATTTGTAAGAATGTGTGGAATGATTAGTAGAATATCAGTATCCAAATCGATAGCTGCTATTTACTCCAGATCTGTTGAGAATTTTGAGATGTCTTTTATAAGTGAAGAATTTACTCAGTTTGGATGCTGGTATAGGAGTAACTTCCAAAACCTCTCTTTCCTCTCCCTAATTGTAACAAAATACAGTATATCTGTTGTCATATTGGTAAAGCTGCAAGTGTGAGCACAGATGTTACTAAGCTACTATAAAGTTCTTTTTGAATGGGTTATGTGGGCAGAAGGCAAAAACACGATACAAATTTATATTTATTCTGCAACTTTTATTTGGAAATTCCAAAATGTTTTATGAAATAATGGCAGAGAGTAATATATCAAATTTATAGGTGGCAAAAGTACATAGGGAAGTAAATGTCTTTACTCTAGAGACAAATGAACCCAGTGGTCATGAAACCAGCTGATGAAGTGTGCATTTATCAGGAGTCAGTTTTATCTTAATTGTTTTCTTGTGTGGGTTGGGGACTGGGTAGGAAACAGAACAGATGGCTGAAAAGAAATCGAAGAAGAAACTCGAAGAAGAAGAGGAAGATGGGGTGAATACAGAAAATTTTCAGGAGTTCATCAGACAAGCAAGGTAGAAGATATCCTTGATTAATAAAAATTATCCTACTTTATCTGCCATACTGCCTCGTTCAGTTCTTAATACTTCCTTGTTTCTAACATATGGATGTGAGTAAAATCTCTCTCAGAATGAGAAAAAGAGTTCCATAGGCTTGGCCTCTCCGTATCTCAGTCAATTATGTTGTTGTTGTCATGGTTTCAGTTATCAAAACACTGCTGCTGGGTATTTGGGCTGTATTTCTAGACAGCCTTTAAAGTACACACCACTTGGAGTACTGAGAGAGCCCTTTGGAAAGTTGAAGTTAGAGGCTCCCAGTGTTTACTGGATCTGAATTTATCCCTGACCTACTGATGCAGTGGCGATGACCAAATTTTGCCTATGTTGAGTGGGTTGAGGAATTGGCAGTTTCTCAGCACTGTGAGGGTTACGCCTAATTTATATAAAATAGAACAAGTCCTTCATGAGTAGAGTTAGCCTTTAAGGATTGAAAATCTCAGCAGTCAGCTCTATCTTGATATAATTCAGTCAGGCCATTTTGTCCTTTTACAATATGTTTCCAAAGGAAGAGGTAACAAAGGCATTTCATTTAAAATTTTGTAAGACTCATACTGGAAGGCCTTTTTCTAAAACAGAGAGTCATACAAACTACTCAAATAAAGTGTAAAACATCTATACAATCCCATTAATTAGTCTTCAACCATCGAGGTCACTGTGGCAAGAAAAGCAGAAGAAAATTCTCTGTTGGTTTATGAAGTTAAATCAGATGGCGAGTTATCAGTGACCAAGATAGCATGATCTGTGTTTAAGACCTTGTGTAGACCTAAGTCTACACTTACAGCCTCACTATCGTGTGCTTAAAAACACACAGCAAACAAATACATCATTTTGTAGGAGTTTATAATAGTGTATTGTTATTTTGATGACATTCTTGGGTCTTGAATTGTATGACTGATAATTCAGGTACAGAAACAAAGCAAGAAATGATTTCTCATATCAACATTATACAAATAGGAAAGACAAACTAGAGTATGTTCAGAAAATGACTCTACTTTAAAAGATTAATTTTCAGTTCCTCCTAGGGGTCTTCAAGATCCTTACAATATAAACAAAGAAAAGGAAAGCCAACTTTTTTTGAAAAGTGGTGTATATTCCCTTACCAGGCCTAACTGGAGGCTAAAAGTGACTGACATGTACTAAAACAAGTGATACAGAGTTAGTGATCGAATATGCTGGAAGCTGTTTATTACTGTTGTACATTAAGTGTTGATTGTCGGAAATTTCTTCTAGCATTGGCTTATTATGTTTGAGGGGGTATATGGATACCTCCATCGAGGCCGGTAAATCCAGATACTTGCAGGAGTCAGACAAGGAAACACAGATTATGAAATGAGCAAAGGTAAAAGAGAGGAGGCAGCGAGCAGTTTGTATTTTGACCAGCCTGAACCTTTTCTTTTCCCTTTCTGTGAATGACACACAGAGTCATTCACACGTTTGTGACCTCAGCTGCGTATGGACCTTTAGTAGTTCCTTGAGGTCCTTACTATATGACACTTCGCTACTCTAGAGATGGTGAGGTTTACTCTGAGATTCGTAGAAGCAGTTTCCTAGGTTGTCATTACAACATATTCTCAAGATGGGATATAGGTCCTTTGTGATAATGCAGGACTATTTTTACCTATTCAAAGGCCGTGAATCTGGGATATAACTTGGCTCCAGCAAAAAGATGCAGAAAGCCATTGAGAACCTCCCACAGGTGTTAAAAAACAACAACAACAACAAAAAAAAACAAACAAAAAACCATGCATATGGGAGCATCTGGGTGGCTCAGTGGCTTAAAGCCTCTGCCTTCAGCTCAGGTCATGATCCCAGGGTCGTGGGATCGATCCCCACATTGGGTTCTCTGCTTATCAAGGGGCCTGCTTACCCCTCTCTCTCTGCTTGCTGCTCTACCTACTTGTGATCTCTCTCTCTCTGTCAAATAAATAAAAATCTTTAAAATTAAAAAATTTTTTAAAAATCCATGCATAATATGTTTACCGGAAGAGTCCTGTGGGCCCTCATCAAACTCCTTGTACTTTCCGTTTTGTGGATTTCATAAAGTGCGTACAATTTCAATATCTGAAGTGACCTAGAACCATCTAGTTCCATCTCCATCATTGTAGCAATGGTTAGGGAACTGTTCTGTGGCCTTCCTGGTAGGTCTCCTTATTTCGGACAGAAGGAATTAAAATGACGAGCGGCTCCTTTAGTGAACATACTTCAGTTATCTGAAAGTGGAGGGCAAACTGTGAAGGGCCAGATCATAAATATTTCACACTTTGTAGGATACCTATGATCTTCATAGCATGTTCTTCTCTAAAAAGATAAACACCGTTTGTAGCAGGAAGCCATACAAGAACATGTGTTGCTCATCAGTTTGCCAGTTTTGAGCTCGTAAAGTCTGTAGTTTATTGACTTCTGATATAGAACTTGGCTGCCCAATAGAACTTTCTGTGTTGTGGCTACCGAGTACATGAAATGTGACTAGTCTAACTGAGAAGAATCTTTAAATGTGCTTAATTTTAATTCACTTAAACTGAAATCATCATATATGCCTCCTGGCTACCATATCGGACAGTGCATCTCGAAAATTCACTTTGGGTTGAAGAAAGCCTTATCGTGTTGAAATTTTTCAGACTGCTTTGTTTGTATTCCTATGTAACCATCTACTAATAGGGAGTTTTCAGCTTGTACTCTTCATTTTCCCCTTCTCCAGCTGACTCCATTTCCAGAATAAAATCTAGTGGAAAGATTTTTCCAGAACAGCTTCCTGTTCTGACCATACTCTCTCTCCTTGTTTCAGTGAGGCTGAGCTGGAGGAGGTGTTGACTTTTTATACCCAAAAAAACAAGTCTGCAAGCGTCTTCCTGGGGACTCACTCAAAAAGTTCTAAAAACAGCAACAGTTATTCTGATAGCGGGGCAAAGGGTGGTAAGTATGACGGTTTATTAATGAAAAATAAGAAGAACAAGTGAAAAAATGAGACATGCCAAAGAGAGACAAGAATCCTGTGCCGCATGAGCACTAACAGACTCCAAGATGGTGAACTTCTGTAGCGTGGGGGTTGGGGCTGAGGGGGCATTCCATTTTTGTCCTCAAAACAAGAGGAACATGGTCCTTTTTTAAAATTTTTTCATGAAAATTAACAGCAGAGAGCTTTCAAAACAAGCTAATAATAGCTAACATTTGAGTGCTCATATTACTATAATCTGCTGGATGTCATCTAATTTTTTTACTTTTAAAAACTATATGGAGTGGGTGGAATTACTCAGTTTCTTTTCAGATGAGAAAACAAAAGCCGAAAGTGACGGAGTAACTTGCCCAGGAGTCCCCTTCATAGTGCAGTGGGATGGGAATTTGAACCTTCTTTGGCCCCACTCAAGGCTTATGCTCTTCATCTGTGCTCTTCTGCCTTTCCTAATGGTTATTTCCCATTCTTAAGTTTTTTACTTCCTCTGGCTTAGCTGCATTGGCATTTGGGGCAGAGGAATTATTTGTTGCGTGGGACTATTCAATACCTGGTGGGATGTCTAATATCCTGAATCTCACATCCTAAATGCCTTTAGCTTTCTTCAGTCACTGTGATAGCCCAGGATGTTCCCACGCATTTCTTTTTCTTTTTTTTTTTTAAATATTAACGCACACTTTTTTAAAAATTATATTAAAATCAGGCAATGGTCTGACAATAAAAAGGCTGCTTATGGAATACTGTTATGTTCAACTTTAATTACAGGATGTTAAATCCTTAGAACTAAGATATCCCCCAGAAAAAGATTAATGGAAACATCGATTGCTTTTTCAGACTTGATAGTTGCTGCTTCAAAAGGTGGTTTTATATAAACACTAAATAAAAAAAAAACCCTTTAGAACACAATGAATCGCTTTTATTTCGGTATGCATCCACATCTCAGCATTTAGTGGTCCTGAACAAAAAAGTAGAAAAATGCAGCAATTTGCCAGGAAGTCAAGCCCGCCAATTTCGGGGATCTGCTTTGCACACCGAGTTCTTAATCCCTGCTGAGGACCGAGAGAAAAGAGCTCCCTGCGGGGGAACTCGGTGATTGGGGATTTGGGATTAATGTGGACCGAACTCTGTAGCTCATGTCATCTGATCTAAAAAATAGCAGTGATGTTCTGTTATAAACAAAGCTCTGTGCCTTAAAGTAAGATTCATTTAAAATCTAGATGGGAAGCATAAGACAGGAAATCTACACCAATTCTGTCGGTATGCTAAGCACTAAATTCAAAGACAGAGACTCGTTCCCTGCTGTTAAGACTACCATAGTCTGATGTGGGAATAGTGAGGATAATTGGTCATTTAAAACATGGAGTGAGGGGTTCCTGGGTGGCTCAGTGGCTTAAAGCCTCTGCCTTCGGCTCAGGTCATGATCCCAGGGTCCTGGGATGGAGCCCCGCATCGGGCTCTCTGCTCAGCAGGGAGCCTGCTTCCTCCCTCTCTCCCTGCCTGCTTCTCTGCCTACTTGTGATCTCTGTCTCTCTGTCAAATAAATCAATAAAATCTTAAAAAAAATAATAAAAAGTGGAGTGAGTTTTCCCAAACAAATAGGGTAAAAGCCTATTTATATTGAGGTCACTGTATAATCGAATATTTCTAGAAGTCCCAGCCCAGCCCTCTTTGAACAGTCCTAGCTTATCTAAGTTCTGAAGTTGATTCATCTGTTTTTTCATTCCTTCTACGCATTTCTTCCGAGCACCTGTTGTGTGTCAGACATTGTGATGGATGCTGGGTAAAAAGTGACCAAGGCTGTCGTGGTACCTTGACTCATAACGTTTCTTGTCTAGTAGATAGAATTGGGTGCGTAAATGTAGGAAGAAGGTTGGTGGAAGCTCTGAAAAGCTCCTCTAACAGTTCTTACAATGAGGTTGGGGTAAAGAAAAGCTCGTTAACCTAAGGAGATGAGGGTCTACATTGGCGTCCAGATAGTGATTTTTCCCTGGGGAAGCCCTGTGGGGAAGCCCTGACAGCATCTGTTTGTACATATGGGTCCCTGGAAATTCTGGAGTTCATGTATTAAGGATGACCTCTACATAAGAATATCTAGACCTATCTAGACCTATCAAGAATAACTAGAAAGGCAGTAGGAAGGCCTCAATCCAGGAAACCACACTATGACATCTGGTAGCATCTGGACTGATTTCAAACATGAGCAAACACGTGTGACAGTATCACTATGGCTGGTGGTGACACACAGAAAATAATCCCTACGTCCTTATTCTTTCATTCTGAAAGATGGTGTGTAAATTGGCCTTTCTTGAGTTTTTATATGAACTAGCCCTGACAAAAGATTTTGGAATATTTCTGCAAATATGTGATTAGCCCTGGCTGTCTTGTTTCACAATTCTGTGGTAGAAAAGAAAAAAAAAAACAAAAAACAAAAAAAAACAAAACTAGTTTATTAGAGTGGAATTTATTTTATTAGAGTGATTTTGTCATGAATGTACTGATCACCCTATCTCAAATAAACTCACTCGGCTTGCTCCGGTAAAACTTAGACGTTCACTTGCAGATCCAGAGCTATTGTGGGAGCCTGGGTCGCTCAATCAGGGAAGCGTCCCACTCTTGATTTTGGCTCAGTTGTGATCTCAGGGTGATGAGATAGGGCCCCGGGCCTTGCTCTGTACTGGGTGTGCAGCCTGCTTCAGATTCTCTCTCCCTCTCCCCCTGCCCTTATCCCCCCACCACTCTCTCTCAAATAAATAAATAAAAAGACACAAAGTTCTGGTAGTATTCAGGTATCGTGCCAACAAATATTGGGGCTGTTCTATCTTGGTCATTGCACTACTCCATACGATTTCTTTATTCCAGTGGGTACCACCGACAACCTGGGTTTCTTAGTTTCCCTAGTTTGAATTCCTGGTAGAGGCATCTGACTGCCTTTACTCTTACTCTTACTGTTACTCTTACTCTTACTCTTACTCTTATTCTTACTATTATTTTTTTTCTTTTCCAGGCATGTCCTAGCTTGTTGCCATCCATGGATGGCTGCCCTGGGTTTAAGTACTTTTCCCTGGTTCAGTTAGCTGGAATTGGGGTTGTGGATAGTTGGGAATCTTCTGACTGGTTGCCCACTCAGCAGGGCTGTAGATGTGGCCAGCCTTGGGAAAGTGTGGTGGGGTAGGCAGTGTTCCTGCGATCAATTAGGAGTTGTGTTATATTTTGGGAATAAAATTATATGTGGAGCATTTGATTAGTAGGAGAGCCTAAGCTCAGTATTTATCTTCTGTTTCAGATCACCCTGAGACGACAGAGGAAGTGAAAATAAAGCAGCCCAAACAGCAGCAGGCAACAGAAATTCACTCCGACAAATTATCTCGTGAGTGACTTCAAACCTTCCTAGATTTGCCGCTCTCTTATAAATCACTAAAAGGGGAGGAAAAAAGTCGTCAGATAGTAAATTATTCTAAAGCGCAAGGCATTACCCCAAAGAAGCTCCTTTTCTTTGTTCTTTCTCTTGACTTAGAATTTCCTTCTGTTTACTGATAACCTGTTTTCCTTCTGAGGAATTTTTCATTTTCTTAATATTTAGAAATTCTGAGCACTTTTTTTTTTTTTTTTCCCCCTAGAAGGGTGAAAAGCAGAGGGAGAGGAATTAGCTGTCATCACCAGAAACTTTTGTCTTAATGTGCTCACATTTGTAAAATGCCTGCTCTGGTTGATGGAGGTAGCCTCAACTCCAGCTTTTAGAAATTCTAGGACTAAAAGTAAACTGTTTCTGTTGCCAGGTTGTCTTGGTAGGCATAATTCATTAAGTTCATGATGCCCAGTCATTAAAGTCTCTATCTTTGATGATTTCTGTTTCATGCCATGATTATTTTGATGTTTAAAAATGTTTACTTCATGTTTTATAGAGATTATATGTCAGTTTTTCCTAAAATGATCTGTTTTGTTTTGTTTTATTTGTTTGTTTTTGTTTTAATAGGATTTACTACTTCAGCAGAAAAAGAGGCTAAATTAGTCTATACAAATTCTTCCTCTGCTTCTTTCTCTGGTCCTGCTGCTACTCTTCTGCAGAAAATTCCCAATACCCACTTGTCATCTATTATTACAACCTCTGACCTCTCAGCAGGGTCTGGCCACCATTCTTCTTTATCTCAGATTCCTCCAGCTATCCCCAGCATGTCTCACCAGCCAACAATTTTACTGAGCCCAGTCCCTGACAGTGCCTCTCCCTCCATACATCCTGGGACACAGAACGCACCAAGCCCTGCTGGCCTGCCACGCTGTCGATCAGGCAGTTACACCATTGGCCCCTTTTCCTCTTTCCAAAGTGCTGCACACATCTATAGCCAGAAACTGTCTCGTCCCTCTTCAGCAAAGGCAGGTGAGTGTGAGAAAATGAAAGGCAGCCTGTGATGTCAGCTTCTCCCCAGCCCTGATTAAAAAAAAAAAAAAAAAAGAAAAGAATGCCATCTCTTCCCTTTGCCTTTTCTTTTGAAAGATAAAGGGACACATGCATTGTTTTAAGGAAGAGTCTTGCATTTGGTCCAGTAGGATTCATCCATTAATACAAAATGAATCAGGATTTCTTTGAGATGCTGGATAAAGAGATGAATGACAAGGACCTTACAGTCTAGTCAGGAGATTTTCCATCACAGACCATCATAGACCTACAAGTGTGTTATATACATTCTTTCAGAGTAAATTGTTATTTTTCAAAGTATTTAAAGTCAAGTATGACCTGAATAAATAACCAAGGAACTCTTAAGGTATCTAACTTTAAATGAAGTAGGTAGACCCATATTATCAGTGAAGTTTTTCCCTCCATTTTTGATAACCGTTTTATTGAGATACAATCCATATACTGTGAAATTCACCACTTTAAAATGTGCAATTCAATGGTTTTTAGTATATTCACATCGTTGTGCAAGCAACACCACTGTCTCTTATTTTAGAACATTTTCTGTTTTAGAACATGTTTCTGTTCTGAAGAAACCCCATACCCTTTTGTAGTCAGTATCTGTTTTCTCCTTCCCCCAGCCCTGACAACCACTAAACTACTTTCTATCTCTGTAGATTTGCCTATTCTGGACATTCTATGTAAGTGGAATTGTATAATTAGTGGTGTATTGTGAATGACTTATTTCACTTAGCACAGCGTCTTCAAGGTTCATTCGTGTTGTAGCATGTATCAGTGCTTCATTCCTTTGTATGGCTGAATAGTCTTCCATTGGATGGATATACCATACTTTGTTTATCCATTTATCAATTGAGGGATATATGGGTTGTTTTCACTTAAGTGCTATTATGAATACTGCTGCTATTAACGTTTGTGTATGAGTTTTTGTGTGGACCTATGTTCTCATTTCTCTTGGGTATATACATAGCAGTGGAATCACTGGGTCATATGGTAGCTTCATGCCTTTTTTTTTTTTTTTAACTTCCAAACTGTTTTCTTTCAAAGTGACTACATCATTTTGGTTCCAGCAATGCATGAAGGTTCCTCCACATCCTTGCCAGCCAATACTTACTATTGTCTGTTTTTCTGATTTTATCTATTCTAGTGGCTTGGAAGTAGTGTCTCATTTTTGTGGTTATCATTTCCATTTCCCTAATGACTAATGATGTGGAACACTTTTCATGTGTTTTTTGGCCATCAGTAGACCTTCCTTGGAAATGTTTATTCAAATCCTTTGCCTGTTTTTAAATTGAGATACTTGGTTTTTTTATTGTTGAGTTATGTTCTTTATGTAGTCTGGATACAAGTCCCTTGTCAGATACATGATTTTGAAGTATTTTCTCCCCTTCTGTTGCTTATCATTTCATGTTTTTGAAGCACAAAAGCTTTTAATTTTTGATGACATCCAATTTATCTGTTTTTCTTTATGCTTATGTTTTTGGTATCATATTTGAAAAATTATTGCCTAACCCACAGTAACAAAGATTCATATGCATGTTTTTTTCTAAGAATTTTATAGTTTGAGTTCTTTCATTTAGGACTTTTATCCATTTTGAATTTAACTTCTGTGTAGGATGTGGCATAAGAGTCTAACTTCGCTCTTTTTCATGTATATATTCAGTTGTCCCAGTGTCCCAGTGTCCCAGTTCAACCATTTGTTGAAACAGTATTATTTCCCTATTGAATTGTTTTGGCATTCTTATCAAAAATCATTTAATCATGAATGTAAGGGTTTATTCTGGAGTCTCATTTCTGTTCCACTGATCAATATGTCTAGCCTTATGTCAGTACCACATTATCTTGATTGTTGTAGAATTATAGTAAGTTTTGAAGTCACCAAGAGTGATTCTTCCAATTTCATTCCTTTTTTCCATAGTGTTTAGAATATTCTGGATCCCTTGCATTTTCATACGAACTTTAGGATCAACTTGTCAGTTTCTGCAGAAATAGGCAGATGGGATTTGGATAGGATTGTGTTGAATCTGCAGATTAATTTGGCAAATGCCTTACCATTGGCCAAATTTAAACAGTTTAGTAATATCCATGTTAAGATGAGTTACAGCTAAGCTGTTTTGTAAATAGTCAATTTATATTTCTTAGTATCTGATTTCAAATGAAATGAATATTACGCAGCTTGAATCAGATATTGAATGTCTAATAAGTCATAACTATGAATATGGACATGTATGTGTGTGCTAATTTTGAGTGGTTATTCTTGAGACTTAATCTAAGATCAAGAGTAATAATAATCAATGATGTTCTGGTTTGAACTATTTTCTCCCATTTGAGAGAGATTAAGTAAGATCGTTGTCTCCAATACCTTGTGTTAATCAAAATTTTCTTTAAAAAACCTTCCTTTTTCACATTTTTCCCAGAGAGGGATAGGGAACAGCTAGTCAGTTCAAAATATTTTTAAATTTCTGTTGTAATTTATCCGTTGACCCACGGATTGTTTATAAGTGTACTGGTTAATTTTCAGGTAATCGGCGTTCTCTGCTTCCTGTAATTGTCTATTACGCTTATTTCCGTGGCGGTCAGAGAACACACCCTGAATGGCTTAAACAGTAGTAGACAACAACGTAATAAATGACGATAGTAGCTTCCGAGTGATTTGAGTTCAATTTGTCTGTGGTTATTGAATAGTTTGAGAGTGAGAGTAGGATATGATTTAACTTCTCACATTTTAAAGATAAATACACAGTATAAAATTTCAACGGTTCCCACCAAAAGAGTAAAAATATGGAAATTCTAAACCTTTTGGAAGAAGAAAAATGAAATGAGAAGGAAGCTTAGAAAAAGCAGGAGAAATGAAACTGAAAAGATAGCAAACCAAGTCCCAATGTCAAGAATCAAATAAATGTAAATGGGTTGAACTTGTTAGAAGAGTGTCGGGTTGAATTTTTAAAAAATCCAGATATGTGCTGTTTACCGGAGAGAGATACACCTAAAGAGAAGAAGAAGGAGTGGTTGAAATAAAAGGATAAAGAAAGAGGGGCACCTGGGTGGCTCACTGGATTAAGTCTCTGTCTTCGGCTCAGGTCATGATCTAAGGGTCCTGGGATCAAGCCCCGAATGGGGCTCTCTGCTCAGTGGGGAGCCTGCTTCCCCCTCCCCTCCCTGCCTGCTGCCCTGCCTACTTGTGATCTCTCTCCCTCTGTCTGTCAAATAAATAGATAAAATCTTAAAAAAAAAAATAGAAAAAGAAAAAAAGAAAAATGACTCGCTTTTTAAAAAAAGGATAAAGAAAGAAATGCCATGTAAATACCAACCAGAAGAAACATGGTATAGCTATATTAACATATGCTTAAATAGACTTTGAGGTAGAAAATTTTCTTACAGGTACAGACAGTAATTACATAAGACAAAAGGTAAAAGTTTTTTAGTTCAGCAGAAAGATAAAGCAGTTCTAAGTTCACCTAATAAAAGTAACTTCCAAATATAATATTTGTTCCAAAACAAAGACTGATACAAGTACATGAGTACATGTCTTAGTGGGAGATTTCTACATACTCCTGTCAGTACTGATAGACTAAACAGATTGTTTTAAATCAGCAAAGATAAAGAGGATTTAAACAAGTTGATCAGCTTTATCAGTTGATCATACATAGAACTGTGGATCCAATAATTAGAGAAGACACCTTTGTAAGCACTCATAATATATTCATAAAACCAATCATCCTACATCATTTAAGACAAATATCACAGAATTGGTATCATACAGGCACATTCTCTGTCACACTGCAGTTAAATTGAATGGCAATAACAAGTTATAGTGTATAACAAATCCTCATGAATTTCCGGATTAAAAAGAGTCAAACACTGGGTGTTGTACGGAGGTTTGAATCACTATTTTTATATCTGAAACTATCATTACAATGTATATTAACTAAGTGGAATTTAAATTAAAACCTGAAAAAAAAAAAACATAAAAAGCGTCAAGGAAGAAATCATAATGGAAATAAATGTAAAAGTATTAGAACTGAATGATAATGAGAAAACTGTGCATCTGAGTGTATGGAGCACAATGAAAGCATTATGAGGAGGGAAATTGACTGCCTTAAAAACTTTATTTGAAAGTAAAAGAGGCTGAAGATTAATTTCTAAGTATTTCAGACATTATAAAAACAAAACATCATAAATCTAAATAAAGAAAAAAATAATAAAGATAGGGCAAAAAAAATCAGAGAATTCAGAAATAAAGTACACTAGAGAATATCAAAGCCGGAAGTTCTTTGAAAACCCTAATAAGAATGACAAACCTCTGTTGAGACTGATCAAGAAAAGAGAGCAGACCCGGAGAAATAGTACAAGGGATGGAAAAGCTATAAAACATGCAAATATTGTGTAGGTGACAAAAGAATTCTTAACTGTTTTATTCCAATAAAACTGAAAACTTATAAAATGGACAAATAGAAAAGTATAACTTACATAAAAATGACTCAAGAAGATGAAAGCCAAGAAACTGAATGTGTTGTTAATACAGCATTCTTTATGCTCACTAAATGAGGTATTTTAGTAAGAAGTGAAATCCAGGGGTGTCTGGGTGGCTCAGTTGGTTAAGCATCTGCCTTTGGCTCAGGTCATGATCCCTGGGTCCTGGGATCAAGCCCTGCATTGGGCACCCTGCTCAGTGGGAATCTGCTTCTCTCTTTCTCCCTCTGCTACTCCCCCTGCTTGTGTTCTCTCTCTCTGTGTCAAGTAAATAAATAAAATCTTAAAAAAAAAAAAAAAAGATGAAAGCCTCAACAGTCCTGTAAATATTAAGATAATTGAAACAGTAGTTGAAAATCTCACAGAATTTGAGGCCCAGATAATTTTATAAGAAAGTTCTAACAGTCTTTCAAGGGGCAGATAATTCCAATCTTAAACTCTTCTCGAAAATGGGAAGAGAAAACAATATTCATCTCTTTTTGAATGCCTAGTTTTATCTTAATAACAAAACCAGTTGAGTATAGTATTAGGGAAATTACAGACCAGCTACATTTATGCACACAAATGCAAAAATTCTAATCAAACTATAAGCCAGCCAAATCTAGCAACGTATGAAAGAGGACACCGTAAACAAGTTTATCCAAGGAACACAGGAGGGGCTTAACATTAGAAAATGTATAACTGACATTTGTCACATCAGCAAACTAAAGGAGAAGAACCATATTCATCTTAGTAGATGCAGAAAAGAATTTGATAAAATTCCACACTCATTCATGATAAAGCTCTCCGCATACTAGGAAGAGAAGGAAGCCCTCTTGAGCTGAAAAAAGCTATCTGCCAAAATCCTACAAGAGGTATCAGTGTAAGTGGGGAATGTTAAAAGAATTCTTTTTAACATTAAGAGCCATAAAAAGATGCCCACTAATATTGCTTCTATTTAATGTTTTACCAGACCCAGCATAGTAAAACCAAAGAAATTAAAAACATAAGGATCAAAAAAGAGGGAATAAAATTTGCTTATTTGCAGAAAATACATTATCTGCATAGAAAACTGAAAGCAATCTACAGATACATTTTAGAAATAGTTATCTTAGCAGTATAGATGGCCACAAGATCAATATTAAAAATCAGTAGCTTTTTCTGTATATTAACAAAAAAGAGTTAGAAAGCAATTTTTTTGTAGTGTGGTTAAATTTATATAAAATTTACCATTTTAACTACTTTTAAGTTTTTGTATATTTCTTTTAAGTCTACTTAATTTTTTTTGTTATGTTTATAAGTTTACAGCTCAGTGGCATTAAGTACATTACATTGTTGTGTAAGAGTCACCACCAAGGAAACAATAAATTTAGGAATATAATTTAGGGATAAATTTAGGAAAGGAAGGAAATTTTACAAGGCTTTTTGAGGGACATTAGAGAACACCTAAATAAAATAGAATAAATAGCCTAATGTGCATGGATGGAAAGAGACAGTGTCCTAAATGTTTCAGTTCTCATCAGATTGATCCCTAGGTTCAATACAATTCCAACCAGAACCTCAACAGGTCTGTTGTTACAGTTGACAAGCCCATTCTAAATGTCCAGTAGTGAGAACCTACGAAAGAACAAAATAAGGTGGAGGAACACCTTATTATGACTTATATGAAGATATAATAACTAATGGGCCGCCTGGGTGGCTCATATGGTTAAGCGTCTGCCTTCAGCTCAGGTCACAATCTCCAGGTCCTACAATGGAGCCTCGCATCTGGCTCCCAGCTCAGCAGGGAGTCTGCTTCTCCTTCTCCCTATGCCTCTCCCCCTGCTTGAGGTCTCTCTCTGTCTCTGTCTCTGTATCTCTTTCAAATGAATAAATGAAAAAAAAAGCTAAAAAGAAAGATATAACTAAGAGAGTGTAGTTATAGACAAATGGACTAATAGAAAAGAGCAGGAAGTTAGAGACACACAGATACATATTCTGTGTTTGATACATATCCAAGATGGCATTGTGTATAGTGGAAAAGGAGGGGTTTCTCAATGCATGGTACTGGGATGATTAGTTAATAACAAAGAGGGAAAAAAGAAATCAGGTCACTGACTTACACTCTGTGTAAAATTAATTTCAGATGCAAAACTTAAAATTTCTGTAATAAAATAGGAGCACCTGGTTGGCTCAGTTGGTTAAGCATCTGACTCTTGATTTAGGCTCAGGTCATGTTCTCAGGGTCATGAGATTGAGCCCTATATCAGGCTCTTGAGTTCAGCAGGGAGTCTCTGGGAGATTCTCTCCCTACCCCACTCCCCGCACTTGGGCGCATGCGTACATGCATGCACTCACTCTCCTTCTCTCTAAAATAAATAAATCTTTAATAAAATCTTCTAGGATAAAGTAAGATTATCTTTAAGATTACAGGGTATGGAGCAAGTGAAAACATAAGGAAAACTTCCATAAATCAGTAAGAAAAAGATAACCCAATAGAAAAATGATCAGTGGTATCAGAAAAGAGATAACACACACTTAGCATCATGGTCAATCTGTGAATGTAAATGGAGACTACAAGGAGATTTTTACCCCCTTAGAAGTGGGAAGAATTAAGATACTTGACAACACTAAGTGTTAGAGGGGACGTGGATCAGCAGGAACTCTCATATTTTACTTATGGGAGTGTAAAAAAATGCCACTTTGGTCTTAACACATAAATTTAAAGATTTATGTACTCTGTGATTCAACAATCCCATTCTTCGGCATACATACAAGAGACGTTCTTTCACACATTCACCAAGAGATGTATTCAAGAGTGTTCACCGCTGCACTGTTTATAATAGCAGTAAGCTTGAAGTAACCAACACACCCACTGATGGGGCAAGAGAAGAATAAGTGGTAGTGTACTTGCAAAATGGAACACCAAGCCGCAGGTAAATTAATGCATTTTAGGCTATGCTTAGCAAGGATGAATCTTGAAAGTATGGTATTGAATGACAAGAGTGTATCTCAGGAAACTGCTACTATAAGATACCACTTTTGTAGAGCTTAACACCAACCAAAATTACCTAGTATTTTGTTTATGCATACACACACACATGCACACAAATACATTACTGAAGATATTTTTTAAAAGGAAGGGAATGAATGAATGACGATAAGGGATGTCTCAAGAGAATCATACAGTTGATGTATATTCAATGGTAATATGGTTTTTGAGTTGGGTAGTAAGTTCACGGGTTCATTATAGTATTCTCTATAATTTACACATCTGTTAAACGAAATTTTCTATGTATCACACAATAAAGTAAACATGAAACAGTTAACAGATTTTTATAAAGCAGTGTCACCAAATTGTATATACCTATGATCACAGTTATATAAGCATTAAGCCAGAAAGAAAACATGTTACAGTGTTTTCTAGGTTAAATTTTTTTTTCCAGTGAGATGTGTGACTTTAATCATAGAAAAAATATGAACCTTGATTTTATATTAAATAATTTCTTTTTGCCAGAATTTCAGTGCTCAAAAATAATAGAACTCTGATACTATAGTTGGAAGAAGAGCATTTAAGTCTGAAAGGAAAATGAGTCATTTCATCAATAACAGATTATTGCTGCTTTTCTAATTACACTGTTTTGCTTTCATCTGTTGTCCCTTTTGAGCTTGGTAAGAAGGTGGGTTATTTGACCGTGGATGACATAGACGACTGACAAGTAAAGTCCCATTACAAGAAATATTAAGAATTATACTGGGTTTTAAAACTACGCTTTTTTATTCATCAAAATTAGTGAATTCTAGGAGTGGTTTTTTCCCACTGCATATGATGAAATCTGGTGTGCGTGAAGCTTTCCCGGTAAACGAAAACATGTTGATAAATGCTTGCGACAAGTTGTCAGAGATCCCTGGGCTTCCGTAAAGTATCTGTTGGCTGAGATTTCTCTGTCCTCACCCTAAGTTTTTCAGGGCTTATTTCCTAAGAGGGTAAAAACTTTTCTCTCTTTTTTTTTTTTTAGCAGGCTCATGCCATCCAAACAAGCCGCACTCAGGAATGGCTAAAACACAAAGAGAGGGAGAAGATGGGTCTCTGTACAGCAGACGGTATAACCCAAGCATGGTCACGGCCGAGCTGCAGCGGCTGGCTGAGAAGCAGGCAGCCCGCCAGTATTCCCCATCCACCCACATCAGCCTCCTCACCCAGCAGGTATGGACAGTTGGGGAGCCAAAGAGCTCTTTGGTTCCAAGGATCGCATTAAGGACAGGGGACTCTGTCTTTTCCTGCCTTTGCTCATTTCCTGTATGCTGCTGCTTGTTGAAGGAGTATTAGTTGGGGTGAGCTAAAGAGTGTTCCTCTTCATCTTTAAAGAAAATGAGCTTCTGTTACAGGTACTCCAAAGTTAAGTCTGCTCCTAACTCTGATGTACTCATTTCATGGATAAACTGACTTGAATGTTCAGCTGTCAAAGAGACTTTTAAAGGATCTTTAAAAATAACCTCTCTCTTTAGTAAAATTTTCCAGTGAATTCTCATTTTAGAAATCTTTTTACCAGAATGCCATAACATTACCTTTTTTTTTTTTTTAAACTATACCACCTTTCATCTCTTGCTCTCAGGATGTGTTATGGCTACTGACTGGTAAAATATTTCAGTACACCTTTAGTCAACACATGTCATTCTCCTCATTTTACAGATGGGGGAAACTGAGGCTGAAAGAAGTGATACAATCAGGGTCATTTGGGAAGCTGGGTGGATGGAAATAGATACCACATTGTTGACCTTAAGTATAGATACAATAACAAGCCTACAACACAATGAAGTTAGATGAAACTTCTACAAGAACTTTGGGATTGTTTTTGCCCTCCTTGCTGATCGTCTTCATGGTATTTAACCAGAAGTCGAAGCCGTATCTTCTCCCTTTCCTTAATGCAAAATGGCATCAAAGTCCTCCTAAGAAATTACTATAATTTAACTCCACAGTTACATTTTGCTATCTCTCTGCCGCAGAGTCTTAATTAGTGGCAACTCTGTAAAGGTGATCAAGTCTAGGAAAAAGCGAAGCTGAAAATGACTATGAGCACATGTTAAAAGTAGGCAACACACTGCTCCCTGGTGGTGCCCTGCTTCTCAGTATGAAATTTAGAACCAAAATTAAAGGTAAGCTTAAGCTTTACTTCAGCCTCATCCCAGTGTGTGAGGCTGTAATGAATATTCTTTTTCAAATCCCTGATCATTTGAAGGGAGTAGATGAGGAGGCCTGATTTGAAATAGGAAGCAAAGAATCTTATGAGAGCAGCTTTGAGACTTGAGCGGGTGGACGAGGTAGATTTTACAGATAGAGTGATAGGAGGAAGGTACTAGAATGTTATGACGATGATAGAAGAAGAAGGAATTTTGAAATGTGAAGTGGGTGTGAAGAAGGGAGAGGGCCAGTGGTCTGCTACCCGTTTTTCGCTGGGTCACTGACAAGAGTCTGTGTTCCCAGTTTATAAATGAGCAGCTAGAAGCAACAAGACATTAGGAAATTTTCTTTGCAGTCATAGTAAAAAACATAGCCAATATTAGTGTTTACATATTTTCAGCTTCTGTCATTTGGTAAGCTGCAAAGCTTGCAAAATGACATGATTCTGATCCTCTGGAACACCAGGGAGATTGTATTCTAATTCAAAGTCATTTCCTTCAGTCCATCTTTCTTGTCGAAGGAGAGCTTCGGAGCCAGAGAATTAAAAGTCCATCAGACTCCTGTACGTAGGAATCTGAACTTACCATTAGATGTCAGTCTTAACTTTTAGAGTCTGGTAAGAGGGTGGTTGGTGCTCCGGACAGTACTGAGGGAGGGGCTGGAGCCTGGAATAAGCAGGGTTGGCTGGGGAAAGCAAGCTAGACCAGCCGTCTGCAGATCTGTCTTCCACCACCACGGACCAGCTGTTGATCTCGGACAGGTCACTCAACTTCCAACCTAAGGGTCTTCTCTTGTTGTTGGAGTGAATACATTAGGCTCCTGAGGATACTATGCAAAAACTACTTTGTAAAGTCTAAATATCAGATATTTGGAAAATATTGGTATTTCTGCCATAAAAGGCTTTCAATAATAACTTATTTCTAATGTGATTCAAAAAAGTAGTTTTTAGATAAAATATAGTGTTACCCAAATGAACTTGGTTATTGAAAAGCTCAATTACATGTTTTCTGGGTCCTTCCCCTCAGAGCAAGTAATTCCTTAATTTGGAATTTGGAAAATTCTTTTATCCTTCTTCTAGCAAATAATAACCTGTTACAATGGCTTCATAGGGGCTCTGGCCCATGTGTTTACTAGTGGGCGTGCAGACCCAAAGTGGGGGCTGTTCTGCCTTCTCTCTCAGCTTGGGCCATGAAACCTTCATGGCAGATTCATCAGAAGCAGCTTTGTGTTCAGTAATTACTTCGAATGCATTTTTACTTCCTCATACCTGTGAGTATTTCCTTATTTCCAATTCCTATTTCAAGTTTGTGTTTTCTTTCCTTCCTCCTTCCTCCTTTCCTATCCCTTTTCCCTTCCTTCCTTCCTTTCAAATCCAATAGGGTTAATGTTTTCTTCCCCTGCTTCCCTTTTTTTGATAAGATCATTCTGGTTAAATTTATTCATTCTATTGTTTTAATGTTTTCTAATTGGTTGTTTTGTTTTGTCTTTACTAATTCCCTTCCTTCTGCTTTTGCTAGCTTTTGTTTTCTCCCAGTCTCTTAAATTTTCTCCCAGTCTCTTAAGTTCATTCACTCCTGTTTGTCACTGTATTTAAAGCTATGAATTTTCCTCTGAGTATCACTTTCATCATATCCCATCAACTCTGATGTATCTTTACATTGCTTTTCTGGGTAAGGTGTTACGAAACGTACCACTACACAAGGAACACAGATTTTTAATTACTTGTGTCTTGGAAGATGAGTATAAAAAATTGAAATCCTTGGGTCTGTTTTTGAAAAATCATTTTCTTTTGTCTATAATTTTAGCTGCTTACCCCATTAAACCTTTTAGTGGCATTGTTCATAAAACTTTTAATTCAAGTGTGGTTTTTTAATTTATTCATTCAAAAACATTTTATTAAGCTCTTAGGAATGTTCCAGGCTTTGGTACTAAGCCATGGGGATGATATAAGACATAGTCCTTGGCGTGAAATAACTCACAATCTGGTAAGGGTGACAGCCACATAAACACATCAGAGTGCTAGCATGGAATATGCAAGCAAGAGACATTTCTAGGGATCAGCAGAAGTATCAAAGGGCATACTACCTATCTCAGCCTGTGTATGGGAGTGAGAAGGCCAGAATAGCCTTCTTGGAAGAGATTATATCGAAACTGAATCTTGAAGGTAGGCAAGTGGGTGGCAGGAGAAGGGTGAGGGCAGGTTCCAGAATAAAAGCTAGCCTGTATGTGTATAGAGAAACAATAGGCTGATCAGTGGAGGGTAGGGAGTCAGCAGAGAGCAGCTAGGATGGAAGCTGGAAGAGAAGACAAAAGCTGATTTAGGGAAAGCTTTCTCTGTGAAGGAACTCATCTTCTTCTCATAGATGACGGGGCTGGAGAAAGGGGTCCCAGAGACACGGTTGGCTTTGCCTTTTAGCTTGATCACTCAGGTAGCTGGAGAGGAGGGGGGGTTGGAGGGTGAGGCAACGTCACCACATTTCCTTCCTGCTCACTGGCGAAGACGCTGAGGAACAGTGAGCTAGCCAGAAGTAAAGAAGCAAACTACCCTGACAGCCCCAAAATTTTATAATAAAACTTGGAGGTACCCAGAATTTACATGAGAGGCTAAATTGTTATGGATTTGCGTGGCCAAGAACTGAGCCTTATTTAGCTTGTGATTACTTTCACTACTTCTGTTATGATGTAACTTTATAGCCTCCAGCACAGGCGAACATCAAACGTTCCTTGCCCCACGAAGTAGCCACAACAGCCACTTCAGAAATGTTTGTGCCGGCATGCGTGCGCCTGAAATAATGCTCGGAAGACGTACGTGTTCTTAGTGGAGGTTACTCAGCAAGTACCCTACAGACCCGAACGGAGAGCAGGCCAAATTTAGTTCTTCCCCCTGGCACATGAGAGGCGGGCTGTCCTTTGGGGCTGGGGTTCTTGGGAAGCGAGTGTGTCCGTCTCTGAAAGCAGGGTGTTCTAGAAGCATCTTTCTCCTGTGGTAGGGAGCGCTGTGGTCGCTGACAGGAGTAGAGCTTCGGTCTCCCTATCTCTGCCTCACCCAGTGTTGGGAGAGGTGTGCGTTCCCACTGCCGCACTCTGCCCGGACGGCGCCCTTTGTGGTCACCGCCGTGAGTGAGCGGAAGAATGTGGCCAAGGAGCCCAGCTCTGTGGTGAGGAGTGGGAGGCAGCCACTCGCAGGGAGCACCGGCCCTCGCTGTGCGGGCGAGTGTGAGGTTTCAGGACCCGGCTATCATTAGGAGCAGCTCCAGCCCTTCCAGCCTGGGAGTTTAATCAAAGGAATAACAGCAGACCACCCAGGCGAGGGCTCCAAGGCGAACGAATGTGCTGCGTCAGTCTCTGTTCCTCAGCCAGCCAGTGCCCGGGATGTGGCCAGGCCTCCTGGAAATGTGCTGACAGATACATAAGAGGGAGGAGACACTTTCTGCTTCTCACATTTTTCATGTAGATGGAGAGTGGGGAAAGAAAACCATTCAATTTCTCTCATTTTTTGCTCCTCACCGTGGTACTTTTCTAGAGCAGTTCTAGAGAAGGGTGTATGCTGAGGTGGAGAATGTTTGGTTTCCTCCAGCTACTCGTTTCTCTCACGCATTCACGTATGAAGGAATTTCTCATTTTTTCTGCTTCAAGCTGGACCTTGAGTGAATCGTACTTTCAGAATTTCCAGTTTGAAGGTGAAATTGGCAGAGAGGGAGCTGAATTTCCGAAATGATGATGAATGTTCTCCAGACCTGAGGCAGATGGCCCCCAGTTTATCACAGGCTTGGGTGTTTGGGAGCGCTCCTCCTGCCTCTTCAGCATGCCTGGACGCATTTGAGCTGCTGTGTGTTTATGTTCTGATTTGGTGGTAGTTTTCCAAGTCTAGCTCCTTTGGTCCTATGTTCTTTCCGGGTAGAAATAGTGACACTTCTTTATATCATATATATTACTTTTTCCCATTTCTAGAAACAGAAAAGAATAAATGGAAAAAACAGGAGCTCTTGAGTCAATGAGACCTTAGAGAAGTTACTTAACCTCCT